GTAGTGGTAGTGGTAGTGGTAGTGGTAGTGGTAGTGGTAGTGGTAGTGGTAGTAGTTGTTGTAGAATTCCATGAACCAAGCAAACCTCAGAAGAGTTATATATATATATATAAGTTAGGGTTTCAAAAGGCATCAATAGCAGAACAAGAATAGAGTTAGATTTTTTCCCTTAGGGCTCCAAGTTTGCTTATTAATCCCACCCGGTAAACAATTGATATTATTCACTTACCCTGGGCTGGTGTACTATCCCTTTGAAACATTGTTTGGAGCAATGAACTCGTTGAGGTTTAATGAGCGTTTTTGAAAACGATTTCCAGGTTAGAATTCCGTGAATCAAGCAAACCTCTGGAGAGTTAAGTAAGGATGTTAAAGGGTGAGCAATAGCAATATCAAAAAGAACACCCTGGGTGAAAAAAATGTTTATTTCCGACCCATTAAACTAATCAGGGTGTGTGAATAATTTGGCGAACACTTTTTACTATTCCGTCCCATTATACGAAGTTGGATTCAACAAAATGCCAGAGCTTGGTTTCTTGACGTTCTTCCCCTCAAAGCTGGCTGGAATCTTCTAGTGACTCCTCACGCGCGTGCTCTTCGTATCCCACATCCGTCCGTGCGGACGTCGGAACCGCAAGGCATCGGAGGAGGAACCATTGGAGCCATTAATGCTGCGCAGCGGAGTGCTGGCGCGGATCCACGGACTGCAGAAGGCCGACGGGACGATCCTGAAACCGAGCGGACCGGAACGGACGGGGTCCATGAACACTTCGATTTGTGCAGTCGGCAGAGCCAAAACGCTACTTTTGGTAGAGGTTCCTGTTGGACGTGCACAGCTGCGTCTCGTTCAGATGAAGGTTTGTATTTAAGGATTTTCATGCAAGATCTGCAGTCTTGGCTGTTGGGATGCCAACAAAAATCAAGAGGCAGCGCCCATGGCGGGCTTCCGCCACGACCGACTCCCAAACCCCCAAAAAAGCACCACCACAAGCGACCGTCACGGAATCCGTGGATGCGCTCACGCATCGGATGGCCATCGATGCCGCCCACAGGCTGGGGCAGAGCAGTTCAATGGGCAGACACTTGGATTCAAGAGCTTTGAACTCAAAGCCTTCATATGGCTATTGTTCAAGAAAAGGGCAGAAGCCTTACCAGATATGGAGTATTGACCCATATGTTTCGAGGGTTCCCCTGAAAACCCACCTGGTAGAAGAGAACATCGACCACCAACCGATGGGAAGTGGTTCCTTTGTAATTATTTCATGTAATTTCATGCATACAAAAATGAGTCTGTTGCACCAGATCTCTTCCAGCTGGGATACATCAATATGATTCAATATGCATTTTGCCAGGACCAATTTTTGATTTTTGACGTGGCTGTATGGATCGTTGGCGTCACAAGGAGACACATGGACATAGAGGCGAAAACTGACGGTCTCAGTCGCCAGTTGTCTCGCCAGCCAAAAGCTGATCTACATGAGCGTTGATCACCACGGTGCTGAGGTCGTTTTTGTAGTATGGCCAGACTGAGTGTTTGTAAACCAAACCATGAGTGTCCACATACGCAGACAGTCTCTTTTTGAGAGATTCAAAAATAGGGACGGGCCGGGGGAAGGAATGCTTCACTATATAGTGTATAGTTAAGGATCTAGTGATAGGACTGATAGGAAAAACCAACCCCCCCAACTAGGTAAGAGGGCACACACATAGCAAGATACATGTTGGGCTTTTGAGCTCAAGAGCTCGCCCTCTAGCAATCCCCTAAGCAGAAGCAACAGGGAACTCGCGTTGCTAAGAGTGACTCCATCGCCTTGCTCAGGACTTGCACCGTGCTCCAGCCCTCTGGCGAGAAGTGGGTGGTGCTTTTACGTGATGGTCGGAAGGCCGGCGGACTCGCCTCATACTCGCTCTTTTCGTCGCTTCCGGATGAGTTGAGGGCTGCTAGGGCTGCTAAAGAGATCTAAGGAGTATGACAGTAGAGTCCGACTGTCAACAGCCATGCATTTCTCTATGCCTTTCACTCTTCTTGGGTTGCCAAATAAAATCAAGGAATGGCAGTTATGAGGAGATCCAACACGGGATTTTTTGAGCTCAGGTGGCTCCTGACCTGATGTATCATGAGTCATGCATGGGTTCTTACTGGGGCCAGCTGAGGCAACACAACTTCAGCCTGGATGTAGTGCACACAATTTGTGCAGGTTTATCCATCAACCCCGCCTCGCATTACATCCAATGAGGGGACCCAGTCCATTTCCCGCAGTCTCCAGCGGACCAACGGATCGGCACGAGGGCCTCATGCCGTCTACTCGTCTACGGGGGCAACATCACACCCATATTCAACCTGATCTATGGGCCGACATGACCCAACGGCCTATATGATCTATATGGGTCATGGACTTGGCTTTTGTGGTGTAAATCCTTGAGTTCTGCTAACGTCCGCAGGGGCGTGTCTTCTGTGCTGCGCAGGCCGCCATGGCTGTAGAGCACTTGCAACTGTTTCTTGGATACACTCCTTCATGCAGTCCATGATACCAGGGGACGAGGTCAGATGTGAGCACCGCTGGAAAATCAAGAGACTGGAATTTCCAGAATACTAATAATACTTGATCTTCTAATTTGTTGGGTGCTTTTAAACAAACTTTATTTTGTTGACAACTAACTTTGGGGTCATACCGACTTTTTATTGTCAGTGGTCTCAGAGTTTGGCAGCAGTGCATCCTGTAAACCCAAGAGGAGACACTCCAGTGCAGCTCGAGAACTCGACCTGGACATCGCAAGACATGGCGCGCCACGTCGAAGTCTGATCACTAGAAGCGATGCACTTGTTTCTAATAGCTTCTTGTTACTACTAGTAAGGCACTTGTTACTAGAAGCGATGCACTTGTTACTGCAAGTCTGACCGGAAGGAGATATTGACATTGCCGTTTCTTTAACAAGAGTACCGCCCCTGACACCACTCCTTGACATGGGTTCAACTTCAACCGAATGATCCTCAAACCTCATATCATCAACAAACGACAGGAGAAACTCGTCCGCAACTTGGAGGTTTCTTACTTTAGGTTCATACTAAAATGTTTTGAACTCGAACGGGCTTACTACTTCAACATTGCAACAGGCAGGACCTGGCAGGACCGCAGGAGACCCCACAGCTTCCCATTGTGGGGGAGTGGTTTTTTCACATCACCCAGACGTGCTTGACCGCTGGTACAACGGTCCAGTTCGGTGCAATGCTCGGGTGCCTTCGGCGTCCCGTGTCAGGAAGGCCAAGATCATCCACCTACGCTCCAGCCAGGGCAAGGTCTACAACAGCACCATTTGCACGTGCCTTGGCATTCTTGCGAAGGGTCATTGGCAAGTCCCTTGTGTCCGGTCCGTTTTTTACTTATTTTTTCTGTGAAGACACTCTGTGAGCTGCTTCTGCATCACAAGTGAAAGCGATTTGCCCGAAATAGAACCGAACATCTCAAAGCTTTCGCCTGAACTGCATATCATTATTTTCAGTGCGTGCCCTCATCAGGTACTATAGGGCTGTATTCTTTACATTTGTGAACAGGCCGGTTGTGGCATGCTCGTTTGTTCGCCAAACTGATGGGCCTTGGACTCGTTTCATTCGGACCTTCCCGTTGATGTTGGGATTGTCTGAGACGCGCCTCGGGACGCGCATCAGAAGATCAGACATCCACCTGCAGGTGCCTCTTCAGCACCCCTCCACCTATGTTCACATATATATATATATATATAGACCTACATCAATTGTGATGACTTGAGTCTTAGGAGGTCAAACACCTTAAGTCTCTTCAGGTCCTCACGGCACAAAAACTGCGCCCCCACGAGGCTCTTGCGCTTCGACCGCCGCGCGGAGAAGTGGCTGGTGGAGCTTTTTACGGGGGTTGAGGTGCCACGAGCGAGTGTTGCGCGGGAAGCGCAGGGCGAATGCGTCTCAACGTGGTGTCCCAAGAGCTCGGAGAATGAGTGGTGAAGGCGGAGGGCATTTTCCATTTGTTGCGACATGCTAGTGTGCATCTATATAATATATATATATGTAATTATATGATAATAATATTGTATGTTGCACAGAGTTAAGAGGGTGAAAAACCACTGCTTGAACCACTAACTCATGGAGCAATGCATTCTATGGAAGATGATTTCACTCTCTAAAAGATGGGTGTGGAGATAATTGTTTAGCGGTTTCACCTGGCAAAAGGCCCTTTTCTGACCGTGCTGCGGCAGCCTTTTCAACGCTCAAAACAACCCTCTGTTGGGAGCGACACCAGTCCCAGGCCCACGTGCCGGCGGAGAACCTGGTGCCTCTGAGAGAGTAAAGGGCCGGCCAAGCCGAACTCATGGCAAAGGTCCCATGAGGACGGAAAGAACTGCAGAACCCAAACCGGGAAAACGGGCGTGCGGGAACCCTGTGTGCGGAACCGGTGTGCGGGTTGGCCTGCGCGGGAAAACAGAGCAGAGCGCTGGGGTCAAAGCCTGCGCCACTTGAGCCGCGCTAAGAACCTCCCTGTTCATGTTTAGTAGTGGGCTTGTCATATGAATCCTTCGCGTAAGCAAAACTCTGATGTGCTTAAGGTTGCGTAAGCGTTTTTTGTGAGATGAAACTTGCGTAAGCCGCGTAAGCAAGTCGAAATTTAACATACATGTCACATGTATTCTTGAAATGTTTGGAAATTATAGGAGACCTTTGTTGATGAAGCCTTGCATTGGATCTTTTTCTTGGCAATTGGTATGGTCGAAGGTGATTGGCTCCACAGAAAGAAGGGTTCTTGGGGTTCCTGTAGTCATTTATATACAGGACATAGGCATCAGGACAGAGATTTTATGGGTCGACACATGCAAACATTACTCCTATAGCCATACAAACAACTCCCGTAGCCATAAAGTCTACCAGCAGTTGTCAGACACACTATGTCACCATGCAGTTATCGGTTTTGGTGTCGGTAATACGCGTAAGGCGCGCGTAAGCTTCGCGTAAGCTGCGCGTAAGCCCCCCTCTCTTTTGTAGACGGTGGCCCACGATGCCTCCTAAAGAGCAGGCTTTTTCTGACTCGCAATGGCGCCAAAGGCAACGCATTGTCCAGACCATCTACGAAATCCTGGCTTCTCACTGCCCTACACCCGCGGACGTAACAAACCTGTTGTGTGCTGTCCTTTGCTTGGAAAACAGATGGCGCGTAAGCTGGCGCTGTGGCCGGGTGCAAGATTGTGTTCGCGTAAGTGTTGCGTAAGCCCCTTTGTGTGCAAAGTGTGCGCGTAAGCTGCCATTGTGGTGGCGTAAGCCAGGCGTAAGCTGCTGCGTAAGGAAAGTCTTACGACATAGGCAGATGCCACACGTTTTGAGCACAGCTCACTTAGATGAGCATGGAAGTGCAAAGTGAGCCCTTAGATGGTTACATGTTGGGTTCTCTCCGCTTTCATGCTTAGGGGGCTCTGTATCATCCTGATCTCAGAAACAGTGAAACGACAGGTGCTGCTCATCTTCCCGGCAATGGTTCGACGTAAAAAAACCAAAGGGATTTCCGTCTCAAGCCGCTGAGATCTTCATTTGGCCAGTTCCAGGTGTCGTTCACAGAAATCCTTCAACTTTTGGGCAGCTGATCCGATCATCCCATCATGTCCCCATTTTTTTGGGCAGCAACCCACATAATGGGCGGGTGACCGGACTCCGCCGGTTCGGCTGGACGTTTGAGACGGTTCGGCTTTGGGGTCCACGGTGGAAGAACATCGCCTGGTTTGGATGTGGTCCCGACACCTGAGGGTTGGCAGTGAAGGACACAAGTTCAGCACTGAAAATGCATGAAAAAACAGATCCAAAATATGAATCTGCATGAATCTGCAACACCTCCAAGGCATTTAGGGACCTAGCAAGTAGCGGCTAGTCCATCTGCCATCCGAAGGACGCCCTCTCCAGCTTTGGACGCGACGCTCCCAGCACCAAGGACGGTACCCGAGCTCAACGCCTAGGGCAGCTGGAACGCCCCACTGCACGGGCGGTGCTGGGCGTGCCACGCGTGGCGAAGGTGCGAAAGGGTCGTCAGTGGGTGCGTCACCGATGGTTTTGGATGGTTAGAAACCTGCACCATATGCAGAGCACTACCAGTAGCAGTACCCTGCACAAATAGGGGTGTGGTTTAGACAGCCCTGATGGTCGGATGGGGGTTTTCTTTTTTTGCTTCGTGCAGCATGTTGTGCTTTTTGGTGAATCAGCTCCACCAATCATCCACCAGGTCACCTGTGGCTTGCATCACACCCTGATCTTGACCGAGGCCATTTGCAGGGCGTGCTGGGCGAATCGTCCTTGGCTCCACGAAACTTCGTGAGATTTCCTGACCATTCGTTCGCACAGCTGGGTGAACTAAGGAACGCCTCCCGAAGGCTCCTTTCCATGGAGCCGACTGGACAAAGATTGAACAACGGATCAAACCCTGGAAAACGATGTTTCTGAATGTCCAGTGCTGGGCATATAAAACGATCGTCTGCAGGATCCTGGCCAATCACCCTCAATCATTGCATCCTCGTCAGCGTCGTCAGAACTTTCAATGAGTCATTTTACTCCGTCTACAGTAGTCATAATTCATAATCACCCACTTCTACCGAGGCAGTGTACGAAATGAATTAGTGAAATGATGTGAAATGAGTTATATAACGTTATATATTAGGAAACTCAGGCCTTTACCAGCTTGTGTAGACCCGGCAAGGTTGGGCCTGGACAGCATTTTGGGGTCCCTCCTCCAGTTGCTGTCTGGTGCCGGTGCACTGTTTCTCACACCAACTGCTTGGGTCTCCGAAAAGTACCGACCTGCTGGTCTCTTCCATTTCTGAGCTCTTTCGGGATTTCTTCTCGTTCTTCGTTTGATCACATTGATCACTGACCTCACCAAGTCCGATTTCACAGGAATGAAACTGCTCGCCACACGCGTAAAGGAGGGGGCGGTTCAGCTTCACAAAATCCCACTGCCGCCATTCTTGTGCCCGAAAACTGTGGGAACAGCCCTCAGTTGCTCCAGCTGATGTTGTGTTGTCACCGAAACTTGTAGGGTCCTGGCCGACGGAATTTCAAGATACAGAGTCTTGTTGACTCCCCAACAAATCGAGCTAAATGTGAGCTCCAAGAGCTTCGTAGCTCCAATTGCTTTTTTGGGGTGTTTGACCGTTTGACCAGTAGAGGAGTGCCCATTCTGCTACACTATTCATTATATAGTTGGATGGGTATACCTCAAAATCACTTAGGAGAGACGGATTCTGCGAGCATGTATCTCTCCAAGCTGGTTGCCCTCCAGGAACGGCAGGTCTTCAGTTTAGGCTCCGGTAGCCTGGGCCAATTGGGCTTGGGCCCTTGCCGCAGATGCCCGGAGGCTCAGCTGACGAGGGAGTGGCGCCTAACCGCCTCCAGTGGAACCGCGTCGCGGTCACATCCGCCGAGGCCCTTCGCCCACCCAAGCCGTGGCCTTGGAGGAAAGGGATGGTGCCATGAATCCATTCGCGGAGGGGCGCGGAGGGGTCAGAGACTGACATGAGTTCGCCTGACTAACCCCTTGATTCCCTTGATTCCATGAGAATCCGACAGCCATTTCTTTTAAAGGTCAATTGATACAATGCGAGAACTGTATTTAAAGTATTTGTATGATTTGTATGATAGATCCATTTGTTTCACCTGCTGTAGGGAGCTGCCCTCATCTTCCAAACTACTTAAAACTTTTGATGACTGTGATGTTTGTTAGAAAGAACACCCTCGGCCTCTCAACCATTCGAAGCAAGGAAGAATGCTCAGCGAGAGATCAACATGATCAACATGATGAGAGGTCACAAAGTGAGGGAATCAACATGTTCCTGTCCGCGGGAATCAACAGAGGGTCTTTTCACCCTGGATCAGTTGCACGACCGGAAAACAACACCTCCGTCTCGGCCGATAGGTTCGATCCAGACCGTTCCCGGAAGCATCTCGGCCATAGGTCGAGAACTCCGGATCCAACCTCCTGCACGACCGGAAAGAGACGTGAAGATCCCTTTTCTTCGTAGATCACGGAGTTCACGGCAACTTAGATATGCCTACAGGGATGCAGGACTTTGTCGATGAATCATCTTGATGTATGCGTGAGGTTGCCTTTCCAGTGCAATGCGAGGGGAGCCCGGGTCCCCAGCATATCACTTCGAGATTTGAACAGGATGTGGAGCGTACAGGCACATGTCGTGGCAAAGGACACAACCCAGTACTTCAGGGGACACTTCCTTGATCTTGAGGCATGTGCCGCATTGAGTCTGAATTCTTTTGAGACAAGAGTCATAGCATTCATAACCCAATGTGGCTTCTTGGGTAACGGTATTGGTATCTCTGTGTGACATCCACCCATCCAGTGACAAAACCAAATGATACTGCACATGACACACCCAAGATCTGAGATGATGCGCCCCAGGGACTTTGCTGAGCCTGAGAGGACGGCAGCAAATAGCAAAATGGCCTAGGAACGCCTCAAGGACGATGTTGGACTGAACCTCAATCAACAGGCATTTTCTCATCTTTGTACATTTGTGGGGGAGCACATCGAAAGCAACCTCCAATGTTCGGGCAAGTGTTGTTCATTAACTGAGTTGTCTTTCGACACCCATCATACGGTTCGCATGTTGCGCTGTGTTTCAGTTGATGTAGTCTTGTTCTCATTCCGCGTAGGCGTAGGTCAAACATTCCAGGCACACCATGCATGACAACATCGGACAACTCGACCAACTTTTGGCGATTTCTCCCTACTATTCCCTCCTTTGTGGTCAGCATGGGAGTCCCTCCCAACAAAGTTATCCCAAAACACCCAACCAGGATCAACAAGGTTCGTTCGTGAGCCAGCGACGGTGGTCACTGAAATCGACAAGATGACAAAACACATCATTACTGCAGATCATTTCCACATCATGAAAACATCATAACTGATCAGCAAATTAAATCATTTGCGGTAGATCTTTTTAATGATTTCAGTTAATTTCCCACTGCCTCTTTGAGGCATTACCGGCATCGCCGCCGGCTTCGCCAGTGGCGCCTGGCGAGAGTTGGGGACAGGGGGAGCAGGCGGTCTTCAACATTATCTCTTTTTTGTGCAGAGCTTTGGAGAGAGCTTATGCTATGATAGCTATGGCTGTAGGTTCTTTGCTTGGTTGGATTGCTGGGTCGAGCAAAGAAACACCCGTTCATTGGGTCGAGAACTACGGTTGTTCCTGCCGTGCCACGGGAGTCGACGGCGTCAGCCAGGCTCCTTTGCAGTGACACAACATGGCTGGGCCTGAGGCCTCAGACGGATGATCTATTTCCTCCCCTGGATCCTGGGTCCTGATTGGCTCAATCCATGGATTTAGTCATTTGGTGAATATTTCCATGTTTGAAGGGTTATATACTGCAACCTTGACATCTTGCTTTAGCTCAATTGATGGATTGAGTAATTTAGTGAATATCCCCAGGGTTGAGGCTTTACATCTTCCTTTACTATAGATTACCCTTGTGGTGGAGTTTCGGTGCAAAGATGTTGGCGTGACATGCTGACTCATTTAAAGTAGGCTGACAATGGCTGACATGATTCTACGCCAACATCAGCTAGTAAGTGTGCAGGTTGATATGTTCCGTTCGTGCTGTGTCCATGCTACTTGTGCTCAAGACATCCCAAGACCCTGAAAACAGGTCCAAACACATCGCACCCAGATACCAAGGAATTGAGAGTGCTGCCAGGTATTTGTGTATCAGACTCTTCCTGCCAAGTCTTTTTCAGCAAATTGTCCTGTGTTGGTGACCAAGATCCACTTCTGCCGAGGTCTACAGCTGGGGCTGCAACGAGAAATGTCACGACCTGGGGACCTGGGGGGCCTGTTTTCAGCGGATCATTGGGGTATAGAGACGATGCATTCAAAGTCATTCTATATAAGTCTCTTGTTTAAAAGGATTTTGTGCAAGCACAAATGGAGCATTGGTCAGCTGATTTTCAGGATCTTCCTCACTGACATCGAACAGTTTCTCTCGCAGCCACCAGCCAATGTTTACGAACGCCTACTTTCGTCCGCTAGAAAAAGACAGGTGCAGGAAACTGAATGATGATCCTCACGAACGCCTCATGTGTTCTGCTTCCTTGCTGCGCTGCTCCGACACCCGGCCACCCAGGCGAGTTGGGTTTGGGCGCCGCCGTGCGGGGCGCCGCCACGCCCAAGCCGGTGGACGCGCTGGCAGCGGTGAAGGTGGTCCAGGTGGTCCAGGGGTTTGACATCGCCGAGTCTCGTCGGCCCGACGAGCTGTGCAGTTAGACCGAAGTTGGACCGGAGAGCATCACCCCACATCGGTGTCGGTCACCGAGAAGAAGGAAGGGATGAACGTGGAAGAAGGAACGGAAGGAAGGGGTATAGTCATTGTACTGCAGTATAACTACTGTAGATCAACTTGTGTGCCATTGTATCACAATTCAACCATTATCCAGGCTGCCGTCGAATGTGCGGAAGGTGCACAAGAACTGAGAAATCACGTGGTATATGGATTCAGTGATGAGCCATTGGGCATATAGCATCTTATTCAAGCAGCAAGAGTCTACAGTATCACTATTGCCCGAGGCTGGGAGAGTAACATCAGTAGCATGTCTTCTATAGGTCTTGGAAGGTTGTGATCGTTTGTCCCGCCAGGTGTCAGCAGGCTTTTCACATACGGCCTGCATCACAGACAGCAGCTGGGTGGAAGCGGACTGGAGCCGAGCGGACCGGAGGGGAGTGTGCGGAAGATCGGCACTGAACTCTCTCGACTGGGGATTTGGGATCCAGTCCGTTCGATCTGAGGTGGGGGTGAGGACTGCAGCACAGTGTTGGTTGATGTTGGTTGTATATAGTTCTGCTAGCTAATCTCTGGATCCAGCAGCACCACACCGGGCGCGTCCGTGGCCATCTCCGGCCAAGGCGGTTTGCTGTACCTCTGGGGCTACGGCGCCCACGGGCAACTGGGCTTCGGCTTCGATGATTTGAGGCCGATCTCTGCGATCCCCGAGGACCTTGGAGGAGTCCACCACCTCGCAGCGCAGCGCAGAGGGACGTGGAAAGAGATTGGTTTCCACAGCAAGCATCATTTGGCGTCTATCTACAGAGAAAACGTTTCGATATGTTTCGATCTATATACATGATAAAATTTTTATATTGTTGTTGTTTTTTGAAAATAATTCTTTACATATTGTAAATACAGGTCCAACTAAACTGGACCTCCATCTGACGGCGTAGGTCTTCCTTGCGCTTGGGCCGCGGATGGAGTGCCACTGGGCAGCCTGGTGCAGGCGACATGGGCAGCCAGGTGGTGCGGTGGTGCGGTGGATCAGAACCCCAGGGCTGTGTGTTGCGCTGGACTTGTTGTGCAAGTATCGTTCATACGTGCTTGAGGCGTGCGGAAAGCAGTGCCTTAAAGCACGTAATGTTTGCTGAATACAATTCATTAGCAAAAATGGGTACCATTTTGGCTCAAGTCAGGGGTGGCACCACCATACCAATTGAAGAGTAGGGTGGCTTGACTTCGGTTCTTGACCCCTTTTTTGTTCTTCGCCTTTGGGTGCCTGTGGAGTGGAACTTCAGTTGCTGGATTTTGCGACTTTGATTGGGACCTGCTGGATGGGACTGACACCGCCACCTTCTTCACCTTCTCTAACTGGGAGGTGGCGAATGGCGGCCACAGCTAGAAGACAGATCTTGGCAGAGACCGCATAGACCAATGAGGATGATTCGGTCTTGGAAGGATACGGGCGCCCAGTGCCCCGAAAGGCTGGATATGGAGATGATTCCGCTGGTGGCTGCAATGGCTTCTCCAAGAGCATCTTCACCTTGCCCCCTCAGCGGGAATCAGGCGCCGCCCACAGCTGCGGCACCAGAGCCCTTCATGCGCCGGTTAACGGGCTGCCCTACACGACCTGCCCTTACCCTGCAGGAAATTTGTGCTGCCGCTTCTGCATTTGACCCGTGATCTCATTGAGAGGGCCGTGAGGTCTAGGTGGTGGCAATGCTGCAGGCTCGCCGTGAGCCGTTATTGAAGCAGAAACCTTGGGGCACCGGGGCATTCAGCACCTCCTCCATTGATGAATGCTGGATGCCCCTGCTTCTGGTGCGTGAGCGTTCCGATTGTTGGAACGGAAGCTACCACCCTGTTTGAGGGGCAGCCTGTTTGAAGACTGACCCCCATAAGTCCCATAAGAAGGAACTTGACCACCGGCTACTAGGGGCTCCTGGCATCGCTACTAGGAGCAAGGACGCTATTAGGGGCTCCTGGCCTTACTACTAGGAACAAGAAACTACTAGGAGCTTTGGGTTTGATGTTTCAGCAAGCTCGGGCAATCAACGAGAATCACACGGTATCCTGAAGCATTTGTGATCAGTGTTTGACCAATTAATCAGCACCTTCCAAAGGCTAATGCGGCTAATGCGTAGAGGGTACGCGTCTTATACATGGCAGGGTGGGGCGGGTGCGCGTCTTCATCCTTTGTGATGCCATCGAGTCTATTTATTTGGACGGGCCCTTGGCTCCTGCCCAGGCAAGGGGATTTCACCACATTTCAACCCTGGCTCAATCAGTTAATCTCGGTGGTGTTCACTTCACTTGGTTCACGATTTCACCCATGACTCAATTCTCGAGCCCATGGGGCCCACCTCCCACGTCTCTCGATGTGGTCGGCCGACAGTGGTCAGGTGCTCGATCGGATGACGCAGGCGATTTCGGATGGTTTGGGAGAGTGAACTCGACCACTCCGAGAAATGGCAAGAACTGAGGTAGGCTTGGCGAGTAGCTTGGACAGCTTGGAAGGTTTGTTGAGACAGGCTTGAACTCAGTGACTACTTCAACCTTTATTGGAGTAAGAAGTATGTAATCGTATACTGTATATATTGAAGTAAAAAGGAGATGAAACAATCCACATCAACTAGAGCTTGTACCTATTTTGCTGTTCAGCGAGAACACTTCAGAAATTGATAGAAATGGGTCTCTTGCAATCAGGAGACACTCGCAGCCAATAGCCAATAGCATTCACGCGTGATCCAATGGGTTCAACAGCGAGCTCGAACGGCACTTCCCGACTCCTCTCGTGGCCCGGGTGGTCAACGGCCGCAACGAGGCCACCGATCCACTGGGCAAGTGCAACCATGGCAGCAGGCGTCCGCGACGGGCTGCGGACGGGCGGTTTTTTGCAGAGAAGACACGTTGGACCAGCGGTGTTGGGAGGGTTTGACAGGGCTTAACCCCACACCAAATACGAGACTTGGGCCCATAGCTCCTGAACCAGGGATTTCTCTGTATCCACGGAGACTCAAATGGGTCGTTTTGTAAAGCTACCTTCTGTTCAATCGTTTCTGTCGGTCGCTCCGTGGACGTCCGACCGACGGCCGTCCGTGCGGCGTCGCGCGTCACGCGCACACGCGCACACGTCAGGCCTGGCCCCGCAGGTGCCGGCGAGGCCCCTTCCGGAGCAGGTGTGGATCTGTCTGAGTGATGGAAGGGATTGTAAGGGAATTCGGTGCTGAGGATCTCTGATTTCGACGGATGGACAGGGTGGGGGTCGATGGGGATTGATCAAACACATATCAAAATGGCTCAAGTGGATTCTTCTTCTAGACATGGTTGCGCAATGTTGCGCACGCACACACACAAAATGAGAAGCACACACACCTGGGTGCTTCTTGTCCCGCACAGGCACTGCGATGACGTGCATTGTGGCGCTTACCACACCATTGCAAAGGCACGGCCTGCCCTTCTCAGCTGCGTACGGCGCGAGCGCCGCGCCGCCTTCGCACGCTGGTGAGGGCACCGATCGGTGTCGGCAGTGGAGAGGATGACCAGGGGAGGACTCCAACAGGGAGCCATGCAGATATAATTACACTCAGTCAGTTGAAAGAACTGCATCCTCAGAAACCCTAAACTGTTTGGAGGTCCAATCTGTCAATCACCACTTCTTGATCTTTGCCTCGACAAGGTAGACACTTGCAACATGGAGCGACACACGGATCCAACAACATTCTCTGTGGCCAGTCGTTGACCACAAAAGCCATTGCCCATCTAAATAGATCAACAGATTTTCACACGGAGACTTCCGACTCTCCGGGCTTTGCCAACGCGTGAAGACCGCCGTGGATCCGGTCTGAAGGTCTCAAGGGGTGCCGGTCTGGGGTGCCGGAAGGTGTTGGGGTGCACAGAACTTCGAAGTTCTTGAAGTGCCCCGGTCAAAAAAACACAAAGATCAAGTTGAACCTTCCAGTTTTGACTTTAGATCTGATCCGCATCCTGCATCTGTTTTTTTTGCTGAAGTGTATTTGGCCGTTGACCCGCCGGGGCTCCTCCAGGCCTCCAGCGAACCTTTGAGTGATGTGGCCCTCAAGGAGTCGGAGGCGCTCCGGGCGAATGGAGGTACCCCGAACGAACGACCGTAGGGGAGTCTTTTTGGTGACTGCTTTGGGCGAAAAACACCGGCAAATGAAGAAAACCTGCTGGCGATCCGCCGATCCGAAGATCCTGACCAGAATCAACTAGCATGTGCACTGGAGATTTCTTCTTTTGTGCACATTTTAGAAATCAGAGGTGAGATAAAGAAACTCTGGAGCATGCCTTAGGAGAATGGAAAGACCTCTTTTCAACAGAGAGGAGCAGTTGCTTTAAGATACTCGGATGTTGTTCTCACTCTCCATTGCGTGCGACACACTCTCGGTTTACTTGGATGTGTACACGAATGGAGCCACATGTCACTATGAGTGTCTCCAGTAAGTCTCTTCTTTAAACATCTCGTTTCAGGCTCTTGCCCGTTCAAACTGATGTGGGCAAGATTCACTGCGTCCACAAATAACACATATATTCATTATATATAGATATGGGCTGAAGCGGTAGTGAATGAAAAAGACATAATGTTCTTTCTTCGGGGGCCTACACAAGTAGTGGGTCTCATGTGGCTGGTTGATTTGTTGAACTCACCATGTGCACGATCCCGAACTGCTCAAGTTCCACACTTGCCATGCCATGATGACTGACGGAGCTTCGGAGCACCACCGAGCCCCACCTACAATGCTCATCCTGCAGCTTTGCTGTGTGGCTGCCATTGAAGGGATGGATATGGGTTTGCTACCAGCGGTGAACCTGGCACTGCAACAGGACCGCTGGTTTCGCTCGCTCGTGAGCGTTCGCGTGGAGAGATCCACTGGATCAACTGGCTGGAGAGATCCAACGTCACTTTAGCCTGGCAAGTCTGCTGGGTGATCATGGTGATGATTTTCAGGGTTGTCTGTTTTCTTCGGTGCAGATGAAACAGGGGACTGTAGGGGTAGGGTTTGTCAAACGGTGGGGCTGTGTTGGGGGGGCTGGGTTGTCTAGTTTCTTCGGTGCAGATGGTATAGGGGACTGTATGCTACAATGACAATGAACTACACCTATCTGGAGAGTTTGTCCAACCGGCCAGAATTCTCCGGTCGAGTCCATGGAACATTGTGCGGAGAAAGAACAACGGCAGCAACAGCTGACGTACGGTAAATTAAAGTGTTACGTCCACCCAGATCTGTTCTACATGTACTTGCCATGGGCCATTCGCTACAAACCTGCCGGCCCTGGAACATCACTGAATTCATGTAGAAACGGTTCCCAAGTTTTGCAGGCTCCATTGCTCCATGGAGTGACTCATCCCTCATGTCCTGACCCTGGCGGCTTTTCGTACCGCCTTTGGCTTTGATCGACTCTCTCCAGCTGTGAGGACCTCGGCTTACGACTCACAGACCTCTCCTGGATGACTTTGGCCCAGGCCGTCGCACAGGCGTTGTTGGCACCTCTTTGGGGCGTCTTGGCGGATCGAAAAGTGCTGCGGCGGAAGACACTTCTGAGTCTCGGCGCTCTAATCCAAGGACGGGCAACAAGCTGAGAACAGAGTCTTGCAGAGGGCCTTAGAAGTCTTCTTGGGTGGTTGGGTGTTTAGAAGCTTCAGATTTCTCTGAATGGCGTGCCAACTCACTACTATCTTGTTGATCTTGTTTTTTCCCTGCGTGTGTCATGTGTGCTGCCCTTCAGGACTTTGCACTGTGTTGCTGGCCTTCACCAAAGGCTTCAGTCTCATGTTGCTGCTGAGAATTCTCAATGGCGCCGCACTGGCCAGCTTGAAACCTCTTTGTGTTGGGCTGGTGGCAGATACCACTGCAGAGACCTTGCGAGGACGACAATATGGGTATCTAGAGCTGTGCGTAAAGCTTGGCATGATGGCTGCTGCCTTGATGCTCAGCTCAATCGAATCTTGTGGCTCCAAGATTCCAAAATCCGTTGTTTCATGTGTTTGGCTTTTTAAGGCAACGTTTTACAACCCGTCCTCAAATAGAACATGACTGAAGCAGCCCCAAAGACAGACCGACCTTCTCAAGAGGTACTCCAAAGTACTCCAAATACCTTGTCCGCCGCCATTTGGACCCCTCCCCCCAATTCCTTGTCTTCGGATTCCTTCGTCGACCTCGAACGGGTCGGTCAGCTGGACTCGGAGCGGATACCAACAACTGCCGGAACGTTCGTCCAGCGGGGCTGCGACGAGCACCGCTACGAGTGACACAGAGCGTGATGGAGGATTGCTGGATCCATTCAAAGTAGTTGGGATATGCATCTCCCAGATGGCTGGAATTCTCCCCTCGCTCGCTTCTCAGGATTGGCACGCCCATGTCGCGCCAACAGATTCTGGGGCTTCATGGTTGGCAAGTGGCATTCCTTTTGATTGGCAGTTTTAGCCTCTTCACGGCCTTCTTAATCCAGGCAGGCATAATGCGGTCAAACTCATTTCCATTTTGGCTGAAGATCGTTTGCCTCACCTGAAGATAGATGAAGCTTGACCATATCAGATAATATATATATATACATACATACAGCATATAATAATTTGCTTTTTGAGGCGTTTGTTCACCCGGTCCAGACTGTGGGTACGTCCCAAGAGCGGGGAGGACAATCAACATGCCGGTTGAACAGCGATTGCGATGTCTTACCCACAACAGAAGAGCCATCGCAACAAGGACGACAAGCGCGACGACAATTGCAGTATATATCTAGAGTCTAGAGCAGCAACAGCACCAGCAGCAACAACATATATCAGGAGTGGAGGCAGATTGCGGGGATGATATCATCATAAAAGATCCCCCCTGCAGTTTGTAAACATTGATCATGCGAGGTGCACTGACAGCGTGTAACGGCTTCTCTCCCCAAGTAGGATCGACCCTTCATAACGAGTTCAGCTGTGGAGTTTGCCTAGAAATTCAATTTTTAGAGCCAAACCCACAAGTGAGGACCCCTTCGGAAAAAAGAACATACAAAGGATCAATTACGATCCTATCTAATCCTATCTAATGGAGACCAGGATTAAATAGGACTAGATAGGATCTTAAGGGGTCCGGGAGATAGGTCCTGTGTATCTAATCCTATCCTCTGCCTCCACTGATCCAAGCACTGCAGGTTTTCTTCACTTTTTTCTGTTTCTGTGTTTGGACACACAGGTCTTCATGCGTGAGGCGCGCCGGGAGAAGAGTTGGAGCAGTGGAGGCAGAGCTGGATGTGCAGGTGCTAAAGAGGCGACTCAGCTTCAGCGGGATTTGGTCATGAGATGTCATGAGGAGCCGGCCAAACCAATGGGTTTGGGTCTTTCGCTTGGTATTTTAATGTCTTTATACTGCGGGTAGTTGGTATTTGGGGGGGTCTTCGGAAAAAGAGACACCCACGGTCACCCTTTCTTCTTTGCCCTTTATGGGCTCTTTGAGTTCGGTCAACGAACGGGTTTGCTTCGACCAAGCAGGGCCGGGTTCCAAGAACCTGGTAGAACGGATAGCCTCTAACTGAGCTGCTGGGGTTTCTACCCCAAGCAGCTCTGAGCCAAGCAGCAGATGTAGTCATGAGTCATTGCCCTTTTCGGAAATCGACGTCTGTGATCCGGGACTGAGGAGATGCAAAAGCTGGGCGGCTACTTTCGGAAGCCGACCTTCCTTTGCCTGGTGGGGCAGGGCCTCTTCGGAGCCATCCCATGGAATGCCTTCGGCTATTCAACCATGCTGCTGGACCGCATCCTTATATCCATTCATCAATTTAGTGAGCTGAGAGTGTTGTTTTGGAGGGTGGAGGATGGTGGAGGTAGGCCTGTTTGCTCACATTCAGTGATCTTGGGATGCTTAAGGATGTGTGCACTGTGAGCCATGATGTCTTGCTGAGACTCACTTTGGCTAGACTAGAGGCCCCACACGAATCTGTGAGAACTTCCTAGCCCGGTCTTTTCAAGTGGTGGTGAACATTCGACATTTTGCCAAATTTATTTCTTTGGAACGTGCCAAGGGTCGTTTGTACCCTTAAATCGAATTTTGGAGGTCCGGCATGGTGCTGATTACGTGCATTCAGTGGATGGTCAAGAAACAACCCTGGCCGAGGTTCAGGATCCTTCAAGTACAATCAAATCATTACACAGCTTCAGCAATTGGAGGAAACATCTCAGTACATGTCCTACTCCCCAGTTCGCTGGCACTTCCAGTACCAGTCCTTCTTCGATGTCCCTCGCGGGACCCGATCCTCGACAGTCACAGGTACTTTCAAGTCAACGGTCTCTCGGATGCGGCGGCGGCGGGTCTCAGCACGTGGCTCGGAGCGATCCCCGTCGAGCGACCGCGGCGGTGTGGAGCGGTTTGCCAGGAATGCTTCAAGTCGGGTCCGAATCGTCCAAAATGAAGGCCTGCAGGGAACGATGATGAATTAGAAATTAGAAGTGACGCGAATATGATTTGGTGAATATGGTTTGTAAATGTTTGTAATATGGTTTGTATATATAGTAGTGCTCGTTTGATTGTTGGACACCAAGACCTACATGTTGAGAGTCGACGGCGCGAGCTGTAACCGAGTCAGACTCCCCGAAAGGTCAAAAATGCTGTTGAGCTGCAGAAATCCAAGAAATCGGGAGTTGAAGAACCCCCTTCCAGGAATCCAGGAATCATCCGGAATGGTGAGAAATCCAAGTTCCAAGAAACCAATACCACAACCTGGAACACCTTTGAAATCCTTTGAACCCACAATTCCAAAGTTTCCAAAGAAATCCAGAACAGAACCCCCCTGGGCTCCAAAAGAACTCGAGGTTAGCACACCTCTCCAACGCCACTGGACATTTGCTGGGCGGCTTCATTGGAGATGCCATGGCCAAGCGCTGCCCGCTGCACGGACGACCCTTCACAGCCAACTTCTCAGTCACCCGGTGGAGAAGGGTGGAGTGCTGAGCTCAGGCGTTTCGGGAGGTGAAGCGAGATGCACAGGTGCACCGAGTCCACCGACAGCCCGGAAGGCTCCAAACAGCAATCTGCGCGATGCTTTGGAAGGGGGTTGACCCTGCTAGTTCCGGATCCTATTGCCTCACCTTTTCGAGGGCTTGGTTTCCTTACAAGATCTACGAAAGACTTAGACATCAATAGACAAAAACGAGCTCGTTTGATCCGGTTTGATCTATTTACGAGTAGCTTCTCGATGTTTGTTGGGGAAGCTAAACCACCCTGGGGTTTGGGGACACTGCTTTTCTAGCACGACGTTCGACAGAAGCCCACAAGCTGGACGTAGGTGCGCAGTTCTAGCATGTTCTAGCTAACGTACGACTTTTAGTACCTGCGGATCCTTGTTCCAAGGTACAGTCGAGGTTCAGTTAAGCAGTTGAGTTCTGTATGAGCCTACAGGTGCAGTCGCATACATGGCCGTGGCTCCAGTTTGCTTGTGCCCCGAACCTCATTACATTGCAGTCCAACCGCAGTTGAGTTCTGCTGTCCTGCCCTGCACTCAGGTCTCCTGTGGGATTCCCTGCGCCATCTTCATCTTTTTATCGACCCATCAATCCTTCACCTACTACGCCATCTTCCTCGTGATCTTAGGCACGCACCAAATTATTTTCAAAGGGAACTTTCCAACAGTGATGGTTGCGTGGTGATTTTCATTGATTTTCGATGGAAGATGCAGTACAGTATCGAGTTTCAATCTTTTCGATCGTTGCATTTTTAAGGGTGTTTCTTTTTTAGTATTTATAGCCGACCTAGCTACTTATTGGAGGTACTTATGGTCGATCCTTTCTATGTAGCTACTTACATTCGGTGTTTCAAAAAACTGACGTTCGCGCCTCGGCGGCGACGTGGCTTTCGACCGTCCCACAGCCGCTGCCGTGCCAAGCATACCATGCCCTGCCATGCCCTGGAGGCCTGGGTGCCACCTGGTGTGCTGTGGGCGTGAATTGGCCCATCCTTTCGGAGATCGTGGAGCCCCAATCCAGGACTGAACGACGAAAGCTGGGATGGGGATGCAGCTGGGGGAGTTGGAGTGGAACTTTCCACCGGATGCAACTCTTTGTTTTAAAGGATCTTGCTGAGTGTGGGGTCGTCGTGGTAAGATGCGGGTTCATTAAGGGTGAAGCACAATATGATTGATGAGGCGCTTCATTGTTGAGGGGCTTCTATCTTGTAAAATGCGTGATTCCTTTTTGACTTTCTGTCATTCAGCCACTCGAGCTGCTGTCAAACCCCAGTTCTCGTGGTAAGTGGTAAGTAGAATGAGCAACCCATGATGTCAGGGCAAGCGGCACAGGGTCACATGATGTCACATGATCCACATCCACATCAGTGTGGCAGATGATCTACTTTCCCTGCAGATCGATTGCGACTCCATTTGTAGGGAAGAATGGATGATCCATTTCGCATTCTTTCTCGCCCAGTCCCAGGAGTGGAATCATGGCCTGGGAAAGTGCGATGGAGGGCGCTGTAGCAGCGTGTTTGGGGAATGCACTGGTGGGCTTGTTGGCACAAGTGGTCTTTGGGTTTAACTTGGCCAAGGAAGGTTGCCTCGGATGAGCTTGGACCTATTTTTGAAATACTTGAAGTGGTGTTACTCTTGTGACATTCTTTGAGTCGGTGAATCCATGCAGGGTTTTACCTCCTCCCAATGCTTGATTCCCGACATTTTTCGCGATTTGCAAGTTCAAGGTAAAGCACAGAATGCAGAGGCCTTGGGTAAAGCATTGGCTTTGACCTCCGTCTTGCCATGGACTCTTTGCAACCTGGAGCATTAGATGTGAGCGAGCGGAGTTGCGAATAGATCTCTCCATGACCAGCAAAAGGTCCAGTTGAAGGAGTTGTTGTGAATGATAAGATTGGACCCTCAGAGGATTGGGGGATTTTGTTTGGTTCTTCAGTTCATATGGTGTGCCCAGTGTACCCCTGCTGCAAACATGCCACTCACTCTACAAAGCCCCAGTCAGAGCTTTGGATGTCCTGACTGCAGTATTTGGTTGCTGTGGCTGCCAGCTGTGGCCGAGGGGAGTCTTGGGGGTACGGCTACCCTTGACATCCAACGATCGTCCAATCCTCAACCCGGCAGGGACCCACGGACCCAATTTGAACCGCAAAGCACGTAGACCAACGGTGCACGATCGGGTGAGTGAGTGGCTTTCATGGGGTGGAAAGCCACACCCAACATCAACAGCCAGCTGTCGAGCTAGCATTCATGCGCCCAGCTGTCGAGCAAGGTCTATTCTTCTACATCCTTTTGCACTGGGCTTTCCCATACGATCGCCGCATCCTGCAGAAGGAGAAGGAAGATTTCTTGAAGCTCACTCCCGAGAAGGACAACTTGAGCTCTTCTACTTCCAGCGAATCAGAAAGCTCCTGATGCTGCGAAGGATCAATGAAGCACGACACATGTCCTAGATGAAGAGAAACCACCGGGTCCAAGATGAACAGGAACCATGTGGTGCAGAAGTGCCTGCCCATGCCTACACACCCTGCCACGTAACCACTGGCTTTCTGTGTTTCCAGCAGTCAATGTTGGGAAGAAGCAAGAAGTGTTTGGCTCGAGTCTCTGGCTTCAGCTGTATGTAGCTCCTCCTCTTCGGTACGCGCCGTCTAGCTGCAGCCTCCAACTTAAAATGGACGACATGAATTATGTGGGTGGCAAATGGTGGCAAGAAATCGCCCGACGATTGCTACACCAACGTCAGTGAATCTGGAACGACGCCGAAAAACCGCCGACCGAATCGGGAACGCATGCGTCGCGCGTTGGCAGGGCTGAACCGGATGGTGTGGGTGTCCTCACAAGGTCTCGGAATGTCTCAGGTCTCAATTTGTTCCTGACAATTCTAACTATCACAAGTCACATCCATGAACCGCTTGCAGAAGCCGTGAACCCACCCATGCAATCCGCCATCATCCAAGCTTCCATCCAAGCTTCATGGCACGAAGATGCCAGGTTCTTTGTCCCTTGCCATTCGAGCTCAGCGATCTTCCTGCCGGCCTCACGGAGCGAGACCTGTGGGATCGGTCTCGCGGCGGGATCTGTGGAAGATCAGAGCTGAAGGACAACTGTAATGATGCTGTCAGGGGAAGGAGGAAGGGATGATTGACTCATCCCCTCATGAGAAAAATACACCGTGGTTGGCTTCCGGCTTCCGCTTCAGCCAGCAGGAGATGGAGAATCACCTGGGCCCCGGCGCAGGCTGGAAGCTTAGGATGTGAAGTCCTCCGTATATGAAGTCTCATATTCTGCCCACCTCCTTCTCCTAAGCCTCTTGGGTGCACAAAACCGGGATGATTTGCCAGTTCCAAAGAGTGGTTTGGAAGAACACCCGCAGGAAAATGGGTGTGGCTCAAGCAAGTTGCCCTGAAGAAACTTAGAGATACTGCACATTGTACTCTGCACACTGTTCATAGCATCTTATATCCTAATAATTAGGTCCCTGGTCCCAGGGTAACTACTGCAATTACTATCGCAGGGCTTGAATTACTCCAAACGTCTAAACCACTGTCAGAGTGCTTCGCAGTAGTTCAGGTACCGTGGAACACCAGAGTTTTTATTCAACTATACTGTTTTATCAAGAAATCCTCAACTCTGACATCCATACAGTTTATTCTGCTTACCACCAGCTTTATTCTGACTCCTGGTTATGAACCAGGTATAGTTTATTCTGCTTTTGTGTCACGTTCTGGTTCGACACGCACCGTGACACGCACCCTTCACCCGATGTGGTGAGGCCTGGCGGAATGCCCCAGGCCTGTGCTGCGTCAGAAAGCACCCAGGTGGGGGCGCCACGAGGGGGTGGGACTGCTGCAAAGCGATGGCCAATGTGCTTTTCGCAAGATAAACGAAAGTGCTTTTGGGTGTCAAGTGCCCCAAACCGGGGCACACGGGTGGACACGGGTGGACGCATGTCCCAACTTAGAATTCGGCCTCCAAACAGAGGCTCTGCCGAAAAGAGCCGTGAGGAATCTTCAGGAGTTGGAGTCCCAGCAATCTCCGGTGTCGGTTCATTCTCTACCCTGTCGGGCACGTCGACCCACACGTCCCAGGACCATGGAGACCTTCCGTGGCCTGGCGAACCTCTTCTGGGAGACCAAGCGGCGCTGCCCAGACTGAGCGGACGGAGGGCGGCGGCGGATCGAGGGTGGGGCGAGAGGGTTTTTCGGAAGCCAAGCGTTTCGGCACGGGAGCACCAAAGAACGATGGGGGTGAACCCCTGGAGTAGATGAGGCAAAGCCAAAGAATTTGCACAGGCATCTTGAATTAGGGAAGGTGTCCTTCTTTTTGTGATTTGTTTGGTTTCACTATTCCATGTTTAGCCTACACCAAAGGCCTGCCTTCAAGAGCCTTTTGAGCAAAGATTTACATAAATAACGCAAGTGAGGGGACAGCGAACAATCCAGCAAGCAGTATACTATAGAATAGAGGCGAGTAGATGCCCATCGAAATTGGTATCAACATCTCTGGAGGTTCGGCAAACACATTGAGAAAGCCTGGATTTGGAAGCAGGAATCTACGTTTGAGTCAACTGCAGAAGTGCAGAGTCAGATCACTTGACCCATTTCCAGCCTGAAAGTCCAACCCTTGAGGCTGGGGATGACCCTTTGAAGCACTGGGATGCATCACTAGGACCTTCAAAGTCTTTGTTAAGACTCCATGAATAAGGCCATTCAGCACTCCATGAATAAGGTCACCGATGGAAAGTTCAAAGAGGTGTGTCCTGCTCCCGGATCTTCTGGGGAACCAGTCATTTGATGCGAACTCCCAGCAACCATATCAGACAAACATCATAGTCATTTGTGGCGTCACTGATCGTACCAACTATATATATATATATAATAGATTCGATCTATATAGTGTGTTCTTGGTTCAGATCCACAGTGAGCCGCGAAGCAGTCGCATTGACAAATATGTGCTCTGGCTTTGGGGACTGACTGTTCTACACAGAGCTGTTGAGGTCATGACAAGACAGTTGAATACTCGGTAGTTGACAGATACTCCTCCAAGAACGAACCGTTTAACCCGGAACCCGAAAGGGAAGGCTTTGGAGTCCCATTTTGGTTTTTGATTTGTCCAAGCTAGCATGTTTGTTCATGTTCTAGACTCTAGACCTATCCAACCCCCCATCATGTCTCTCGAACGCTGCTCCATTCAAAACCGAAGTCTCCCAGCCCAGCCATCTCCGATGAACCGGGGCGAGGCCCAAAGCGCCGGACGCACCGAAGGGCGTGGGCTTGAAGCGCGCTGGCTCCTACGCGCCCGTGGACGCGGACCGTCACCGTGGTGGGAAGGGCAACGAAAAAGGGGTCACCGTTGTGGGTGTCCCCTGTGCTGAGTGAGAGATGATCCAACAAGAGCAACAGAGGAATCACAAGCCAATGAAGTCTTAGTTTATTTCATTTTATTTCGCCCTCAATGGGCTCGCCTGTTGAGAGGGTAGTCTGCTCGGGGCGAGCAGCCCAAGAATGGAACTTGCATACATGGTCAAGGATTGTCGAAGTGTTTTTGATGTTGACACTTTGGGCCAGAGGCAAAAGATGGGTGCCGAGTTTCACTACCATCGCGCTTGCTAGCCCTGGTGGGGTACATGCTCTGCATGTTAAGTGGCGCGGAACGTTATCTTCCATGTGTACAATAGTGTATCGTTCAAAGCGACCCCACCAACCTCCTAAATCGCCAACACCGAACAAGTCTCCTGCACGAAACACGCGGCCAGCTTCCGCAGGAGGGTCTTTGGCGAAAAGCGCTTCAGACCAGGCGGACTGGACTGAAGGGAGGTGTCCGACCAAGGGAGATGGCTGGTCATGACACCAGGAACAGGTTGACCCACCTTTCTTCTGTGCTGCGCCCACGTTGAGGCGAGCCGCCACGAGTTCGGTGCGTTCGCACCGATCGCACCCCTTGCTGTGCGAGTCGCATCACTCCTCTCCCAGGCTGGCTCTCTGGGGTGGGGGGTGACCTGGGGAGTGACCGGTCGTGGTGGATGCTGCCATGGCAGGTGGAACGAGAGGGTGGACGGTGGTGGAGGTCTTTGCAGAACGTGAAGAGAAGGAACTGTTCTTGGAGGACTGAAGCTAGCATAGTTTATTGTGGTTTGAGGGTCCTCGACGGTCTTGACCCCCAGTCATCAGAACCTGGTTCTATCCCCCCAAAACAGGACACATATGGACACATACATGTAGCATATACATGTAGGATCTGTAGGAGATCATCATGTAGGATATCAATAGAATTTGAATATGATCTCCAAGACTCCAAGAGCCGCTGAGTTCAGCGGATGGATTCTCCTCAATTCCTCTCCATCAGCCGGGGCGGTGTGCTGGAAGACCCCGCGATGGATGGGTCATATACAGAAAGGACCACTTTTTGTGAACCATCCCACTTGAACCATCCACTTGCAAGGATGGACCTTCTTCAAACCTTTTTGATCCCTTGTGCATGACCAAACGAATAATCGTGTATTTGTCATGTTTTGCCTCAAGGCGTAGGGGTATGTTCTTTTCAAAGCAGGCTATCCACCAGGTGCATTCTTTGTTGCCTCTTCACGGGTGTTGAACGTTGCACCCTTCTGAAACTTGTGAGGCAACGAGGTCCCGTTTTTGCCCATACAGGTGGTGTTTTGATCGCCTGGCCGCAATGGAGAGTGATCCCTGAGAGTGTGTCCCCCTGCTAGACGAATCTCAGCCGATCTGGCTTATTTTCCAGCGCCCCCGTGCTTGCCACCCAGAGTGTACCAAATATGTTGAAGATCTTTGAAGGGCGGGCTTTCAGTACCACTCAGCATGACCAACAATCCAAAACCATATCCTTGCACCACTACCCTTTCTCCAACACTCGTGGAAATGGACAATGTCCCCTGGACAGACGATTGTCCTCTAATAGACTCTACAGTAAATCGGGTGTCCACTTCCATGTTTGTTGGAAGAATGGTACACTGCCTACACTTGGACTTGGATGACCACTTTCATGTACAAACAGGTGGTTGTCCACTTCCATGATATATATATATATATATAGTGCAAGTGCACGGTAGCGGCCTCCGTTTTCCTACACTGGAGCGGGGGCTCCTTGAGCCCGGAGAGAACCGGGACGAGTTCCTACGGTGTTCGTGAACAGAAATTGCATGCCCGGGTCTGTACAACCTCGGTGTAAATAAAATCAGAAGCCTAGGCTTTCCGCATCTTGGATCTGGGATTCATTCCGGAACGGATTTCCCCATAGCAATCCGCTTACGTCCCGAAAACATATTTTGGTCGTCCACGATCCTCCAAACTTGGCCCATTTGAACAAAACGTCCCAACTGAGCGTCCTCCCCCTTTTTGGTAAGAGAATTGGCCAACATGGCCTGGGAACTCACCCAACGAATGCGCAGCTTTGTCCGCGCTTGGGCTTCTTTGATGGTCAAAAGCTCCAGGTCCACTCGCCTCTGAGCACCTTTGGGGGTGATGTAAGGTTTTTCAACCCTGTCATAGACATTCCTACTGTCCGTGATCAACACCCCTCCAACCCGACTCACATGGTTGTCGATGTCATGGATGTCCACTTCATGTCCCATGATTTCACCCCATTGAAATCTCAACATGTGAAGGATATCCTCACCGTCGATGAAAGCGCGCGCTTCCGACGAACCCGGCGACCGACACACCCGATCGATTTTACCACTCTGCCAAAGCCACGGAGACACACGATCGATTTCTCCCGATTCGAGTTTGTCCCCTGACATCCCGACCAGGATACCTTTCGTGCTGCTCCCATCATGTCTGTTTTGGTTGCTGGCGTCGGTCCAGCAGTACAGTTGTGGGTTCTCATGTTCATCAAAAGGAAAAATCTTCATGGGCTCATGAGACACATTTCGAATTTTTCGCAACAAAACATTCACTTCCATCATGGTTTCCACCGTGCTAGAATTCACCTCCGACAGATAGAGGCTGGTGTAAGAAGAAAAACGGAAACCGACCTGACTGGTGTGCCACGCAAGAGCTCCCAGAAGTCCCCTGAGTTCTGTTTTCTCGGCGTCAGTCGTTGACTCCTTTGGAGTCTCGCGTCTGCCTTTGGGGATGTGTATCTCCTGGATGTCTTGGACGTATTTCTCTTGATCCAGCCAAAAGCTGTGGTCTTTCTGAGCACGGACTCTGACTCCACACTGGATGAAGTCATTCACCTCCCATTCTCCCCAGTTGAGGCGCTCACGTATTGATTTCTCAGCCGTCTCCCATTGTTTGTTCTGTGGAAGGCCACTGAAGAGAAAGTCGTCAACGTGCCCCGAAACCAATCCTACGGTTTGACCGGTGGTTGGATCTCGAAGTCTCCAACAGCAGGGGTCCGATTTCAACTGCTCAAAGTTCTGGGATTGTAGGAAGGTGTTCATGGTCTCAAACCATTCTATCGGCGCTTCTACCAATCCGTAGCAGGCCTTCCTCATTTTCACTACGCTCTCCGGAGCTAAGTTCATAGCGCTGCATATTTCAGGTGTGGGAATCAGGTAGAGGTCCCTGGCGAATTCCCTCCCCTGGAGGAACGCAGCAGCTACGTCTCCCTTCTTCACCTCTGCTTGATGATTGGCTGCCCATTGTAACAGCACTTGACGGGTTTGTCGTGTCATCGTTGGTGCAAAGGTGGGCCGATTGGCATAATCAGGGTCTTGGTAACCCAGGACAACTGCCCTGGCTTTTGGTTTCACTGACCCATCTTCTTTCTTTTTCCAAACCAAAATCCATCGCGTTCTCAATGCTTGCTCTTTGCTCGGTCGGAGATGAGGAGGGAGTGCTTGTAAAGCCTCTGAGACAATAAACTTGTCCACTTCCACTTGTTTGGCTCCTTGGAATTGTTCGTGTTCTTCTTGGCTCAACCGACGCTCGGAGACTTCAATGCTTTTCCGTTTCAAGGCACTGATGAAAAAGGACTGACTGTTCCTAAACAGCTTTTTCCAACCTCGATCCTGTCGTGGGAGTTCTATGTCAATCTCCACGCATGCCTGTGAGTGTCGCCAAAAACTGTTTTCTGATTGTGCCCAGAATGAGCGGTTGACCTCCTCTTGCCAGTTGGTAGCCTGTGGTAGAGACCCTCGAGGACTACGGCTTCGTGACGGAGGACTTGTTTCTCGTGGTTCCGGAGGTAGACTAGGAGAGTAGTCATTGTCGTCCTGTGTCTCCGGTCTGTCCGTCTGTGCTCGACCTCGAAAATCTAACCTAGCCGGAGGTTGTTTTGAGTCGAAGCGGCGGCGACCTGTGGGATGTTCTCCTTCTTCTGGTTCTATGGCTGCTCTCTTGTATGGCTTGGGTCCAGCTTCAACGTGATCATGGTACACTCCTCGTTTCACATCCCCCGAAAGTTCTGTAAATGTCCACGGGAGTTGTGGTGGCCTGGCTAGTTCATGGAGGTTTTGTTCACGTGCTGATGCATGGCGAATTTGTTCAATAGCCACCTTCACTATGCGGTTGCCCTTCACCAACCAAGCCACACTGGAGGGGCTCAGTCGCCCGTCCTCATCATTCCTGGTTTCCAAGGCGAGCGCTCGCGCTGGGCCGACGTATCGGCCACGGTTCCAGGATTGTTTTTCGTTTCCCAGAATTTGTGTGCGCCAGTAGAAAACTAGGTCTCCTGGGCAAAGATCTTTCAAGGAGTGATGTCGTGAGTTGCGAGCACGGCCTAATTTGTTTTTCAGCTGCCAAGCAAAAAATTGTTTGGCAGCTATTGTTCTCAGGTGTGCTGCTTGTTCCATCTCACCGTCAGGGTGCTGGATCATCTCCATGGGTACATCATGCAACCTGTTTTCGAAGAACCTTCCTTCTGCATCAGGATGTCGTCCCAAAGCATGTTGAAACGGGCTGTATCCTCGTACATTTTCATGCTGGTTCCAAATGTAGGTGGCATGTGACAACAGGTTGGAAACATCCATGTCTGATTCTTGAGCAAGTTTAGATAGTAGTTCTGTCACCCACTGAATACTACGCTCAACATTTGACAGGTTCCAATGAGCCTCGGCGGGGATGATGTCCAGCATGATGCCTTGACCAGTGAAGTAATCCTGAATGACCTGTGAACACCAGGCACCTTCAGGATCACTCCTCACCACATCCGGCACTCCAAAAAAGGGCTTCCACTTTTGTTCAAATATCTCGATATACTCTTGAGGGGAAATTCCACGTTTGTGTCCCGGAATCAAAAAACGGCTGGCTTCATCCAACAGTACAACAAATTGGGATTGTTTGTTGTCCTGGGGGTTCCTCCAAAAGGCTGCGTCCACCTGGATGCTCTTCCAACGGTCAGTGAACACTTTCAAATTGGCTCTGGACCTGGGATCAGGTCTCTTTCGCTCTTCACAGGCGCTGCGCCGGAAAGTTCGTGCCAAGGCCAGGACTTCTGGTCTGGCTTGCTGCCTTTTGAGCGCTTGAACCAACAAATGATAACTGCCGTGTCCTGTTGAGCTATGTACCAAGGAGATCTGTCGGAGGATTTTATCTCGTTCTTGAGGGTCGAGTCGCGCGATCCGACGTTCGTCCGACATGTCTTCCATGCTATAACCCCTTGTTCAGCCGCATATATCCTACCCTGTTGGTCACACATACAGTCAAAACATGACAGTTCCCTGTTCCACCTACGAACCTGTTTACAGTCACATCCCTGACTACACCGAGGGTTGTCCTGGGCATGAGGGTCTTCCTGAATCAACCGATGAATCTCTTGGGAATCCAACAAACGTGACATGTGCAACACCGCACGGCGAGCGAATTCCGGCGTGTAGTAGGCCGAAGCACGGGTCAAGTTTCCTTCACAAGTGGCGTGTGGGAGTTCATGAGTTTGGCACTTACAAACGCAATGCAGTTTTTCCCCAAGTCCCCTATGTGTCACCTCCATACGCCATTCCTTGCCGAGTTTCCTACCAGTCTTCGGGTCTTTGAGGTTCACCTGACACCCGGAAACAATCGCCGTGTGCGTGTTATGTTTGTGTCTCCACCTTCGATTGGTTCCCACTTCCACGCCCGACACCTACGGCTCCACTCCCACACCACAACACACCCGAGACGGACGGCGGCTTCCGCAGCGACGAGTCCACCGATGTGTTGTCTTCTGGCGTGGTCTTGTTTGCGTTTCAAGTCTTCCTTTTGTTGGGGAGTGCGTTGATTGAGATTTTGCATCGGACTGAAGGGTCCACACTCGGTGGCGATCCACAAAAATTTGGGGCGTTTCTCCTCTATCGTTTTCACGGCTTTCCGAACCCCTTCACTCGTAGTGAGATCACATCCGTTCCACCACGAGAGTCGTTCCGCTTTGAGACCCTGTTTTTCAGCTTCCTGCGACAGTACAGAATGTTCAGAGCAGGCCAGCTCCAAAAGGAAAAGTTCGTGGTCCCGTTTCGTGAGAGCTGTCCATGCATCCGGGATGATCCTATCTCCCTGTTGTCGCAAGTGGTCGTCCTTGCGTTCCGGGAGGTGAGACGTGGTCTCTATATACAGGTCGTCCCCCATCTTCTCCAACTTCTCGAAGCCCGCTGAGCTTGTGGTGCTGCGAGCCTTCCGGGGCTTGTCCTTCTCCTGGAGTTCGGCCACATTCTGCTGGAGCACACCCACCATGGACGTCAACTCCTTCATGGTCTGGATCATGGTGGTGACTTCGCCGGAGATCGCCGCCTGTGTGGCATTTGGCTCCTGTTTCACCTCTGGGCTCTTGGCCGCCGGTTCTGGCGGTGAAGCTGCGGTGATTTGGTAGCTGCCCTGGTTCTTCTTCATCGGCGAAGCGAACCCGTCGAGGTCGGGGCGTTGCACCTAAGTGATCGTGGTGGCATTTTCGTCCCGATCCATCCTCTCGGACCAATGGACCAGCTGCCGTAGCTGCCAGTGAGAGTTCGCCCCCTTTTCTGTGGTCTCCTTCTTGGCCCACTGGAGGTATGCTGGGTCGGACAGGGCGATCTCGTGGAAGGTCATGCCATTGACTCGGCCTCCCAGCTTGTACACCGTCTGTCCGGTGCCGCTCTGAACCAGCCACTGTTTCAGACACAGGCGTAGTTCTCCCACACGTGCCTTCTCTGGGACCTTCATGCCACGGGCGATGCACATGGCTTTGAGGTCGGTGAGATTGGCATTGTTCACGGTCTTGATCAAATCCTCCTCCTCCTCCGAGCTCTTGTCTTTGACTAGCCCTGCACGAACACGGTTCTCCCGCACCACCACACGAACCTCTTGGAGAGTGTAGTCTTTTGGATTGGTGACCACACAATTGAATGTCTCGAGTTCGGCCAGACATTCCCCCTTGGTCATGTGGTATAGTGAGGCTTCATCATGCCGCCCTCCCATTTGGTGACTTGTCCCATGTGCTGTCATCCTCGTGGTGTTGTGGTTCCCAACCATGGGAGGCGTTCCACGCCTCTGACTGCCACCAGTTGGCGTACCACCACCACCACCACCAAGTCTCATCTTCCTCCCAAGTGTTGTCATCTTCTTCTGTTGGGTTCTCGACGGTCTCTGTCGGAGTGAGTCCGTCTGATTCGGAGGCCGTGGCGGCTGCTCGATCACTGGACCCCCCGGTTCGTGATGACCGAGCAGGTGCACGCTCTGGAATGGGCTCCAATGACACTTGGGAGTTCCGTCGTCCGGAGTGCCAGGCTTGAGGTCCTTGTTGTCCGAGTTGGCGTTGTTCTTTCATGACTCGGGTCAGGGCTTTGCAGGTGCGAGCATATTCTTACTTTTATATAGTGGTATTTTTGTATTTTTTTTTGCTGCTTTTGACTGTTTTCATGGGAAGTGAAAGAGCTGCAAAAACGAGAATAGAAAATAACTGTCACAAATTTTTGTGGTGACTGAACCGCAAAAACACTAAAAGGCAAAGATGCACGCCATCATTATGTTTCATCCGTTCCTCCTCCCAAATGGTTTGATTCCTGCGATCACATTTTCCCCTTCAGGTGTGTGTACTATCTTGGTCTTGTTGAAAATCTTTCACTTACACATACATGGGGTGAAAATAAAATTCAATAGCTTCCACGAGAAAGCTCACATGAGAAAACGAGACTTGAAAATAGCGCAGGGCTAGTCATTTTGCACTTGCACTGCTCCCTCATTCACGCACGCACAGGCTGCCGCCAGTGGCCGGAGCAGCCGCATGGCGACAGTCTGTAGGAAACCTAGTTCAAAAAGCATTGCTTGCCACACTTTAAATCGCCCAGTCTTCAGATTGCAAGTGATTGCGCACCCAGCTGCGACCTGCCTCTAAATAAGCTCCATGAGAATGTGTGTAGCAAGTCTGTGGGCCTGTGGCCATTGGCTTTTGCTCAAGCATTTGTAATTTTAAAGAGCTTCCAAGGGTGGTAAGACTTGAGCAGTTTCTGTTGAACCAAATGAGCTGTTTCGCCACAACCCTTTCCATTATTGCCATCATCATGGAAAAACTGCGCATTTTGACGTCGCAGCATTGCAATGTGAAATTCAACTAAAAGTCACGTTTTGAAGGACGCTTTCCCTTGGGCCAAAACATTCAATTATCCTTTACTTGCAACTTGTGAACTTAAGCATACATGACTGACCTGAATTATCAACCCAGACCCAGACACCTAATAATTTTTTCGCGCCAGCAAGTTTCAAAAAACGCTGGCCGAAGCAGCCAGCAGACGGTGTTGGCCCTGGCCGAAGCAGCCAAAGGCCACTCACCCCTCGTCCAAAGGATCCCAAACATCCTCCTCCATTGCCTCTTCCTCCTCTTCATTGTCGTCGTCATCTGCCTGCTCTGCCTCGAGACGCGGCTTTTTCGACTTGGGCTCTGACTTTGCCTCCGCCATTGGTTTTGCCTTAGGCTTGGGAGCTGGCTTTGGCTTGGGAGCCGACTTTACCTTTGGCTTGGGGCGTGGCTTGGGCTTCGGGATCGCTGGCTGCGATGAAGAAGTCGTTGACCCCACAGCTTGCGCATAGGCACTGTTGAACAATGGCGAGGCAGTCTCCTTCATGCTCACCTTCATTAGGTCCAGGAGCCGTTCTTCCATCAGCTTGACATGGGTGTCAATGTAGCAGATGCCCATGTACGCAGTCCTAGTCTTGACGCATGCCCACGCCAACTTTCCATCAGCTGGGCTCAAGTCCAGCACCAGCTTGGCATAGAAGGTGTGCAGGAGCTCCTCCATCAGCTCAAGCGGTGGCGAGAAGTAGCAAACAGGCTCGGGCAAATCTTTGGTTCGGTCGTTGATTTTTGGCTCATCCTCTCCACCTTCTGTGCGCCCGCCCACCGCGATCAAGTGGTGCTTGCCATACAGATCCTTTTTCTCCGACCACTTCATGCTCCATTCACCAGTGAGCTTAGGAAGGGCCACGCCCTGAAAGAGGTCACCTGCTGAGCTGCCAACATAATGGAGTCTTGGCCGCTGTGGAGTAGCTTAGCCGAAGCAGCTAAAGCTTTCAAACTTGCTTCACTTGAGTGAAAAACGGCTGCAAACGAGCAATTTGAAGTCTGAGAAGAGAGGGCAAATCGCCCTCTTCTTTCGAGGTTCAAGAACGTTCCCGAGCCTCGGGTGGAGAGGGCAGTGAGGGGACAACTATGGGCAAAACTATATTATATAGTGGTATTTTTGTTTCGCCCTCTCAAAGCCCTCTCCTTTCGAGGTTCAAGAACGTTCCCGAAGCTCGGGTGGAGAGGTCAAACCGCCCTCTCCTTTCAAGCACTGTCGTCGATTTTTTCACCGTCGAGCTGAGAAGTCAGCTCGTGCCTTGCCCGCTTCCAAATTTCTAAGGTTTTTTAATTAGTAAGCCCCGGCCGAAGCAGCCAGTGACTTAACCTCAAGCCTACAACAAACCCTGCAACCTTGGCCGAAGCAGCCAATGGAAGTAACGGCTGCTGCGAAGAAGTTAGCCCAGCCTGCTCTTTTTGGAAGGGCATGCTGCAGCCTTAGGCCACACGATCCCACTTTTGAAGCTGCCAGTCTTCAAATAAAGGGAGTCAGGTGCGATCTGCACTGCAAAGGCAAAATCCCCAAACCAAGTCTCCAACATAGTGTCCCAGTCGAAGCGGTCGTGAGTCGCCCGACTTTGTGACAATGCTGCCATCACTTCAGTAGCGTGCCAAAAGTTATTTTTGACATAGTTATTCAATGCCAGAGTCTTGCCTGGCGCACGCGCAGGAAGAGCAGTCATGATTCTGTGCTTTGGTCGCGAGTGAAGGTCGGACAAAGCGATTGTGGTGCAAATATCCAAAGCAAAAACAATGTCTTCCAACGCATCCGCTGCTTCTTCAGGCAATTGTTGCCAAGTCCAGAGTAGGGCATTTCTTGCGCATTCCACCCGGTCAAGGACTTAGAACAAAGGAAAAGCCAGAAGCAACCTCTGATGGCTCCATGGTTGCAAAGTGCAGAAACTGAGTTTCTTCGTGTGAACTTTTCTCAGCGCGACTTGTCACAGGCATGAGCGCTGCAAAGGAGCTAGCCATTGAACTCTTTTAAGTGTTATCTACTTAGCCTCAAATTTGAGCCCCAAGCTGAAAGCAAACACTATACCGAGCTGGACATGGATGACGACTTGACTGAAGTTAGGAAAACCAGTGCTTTGGTGCAAAACTTGGTTTGTTTTCCCCATAGCTGACCTTAGTTGGCTCACTGCTAAAAAAGCTTCTGGCCGCATCAGCCAGGAAGCTGACCTTAGTCGACTCACTGCCAAAATAGCTTCTGGCCGCATCAGCCAGGAAGCCAAGCAGCCAAGCGTAGTGCACCCATTGAGAGTTTGCGAGCCTTGGTACGCGCATGTTTTTTTAAGTTCTCATGCTGCAGGGAGCCTGCCTCTCTGACAGCATACATAGCGAACTTACTGCTGCATTTTGCTGAAGCTGCATGCTTTGCAACCAATGCCCCACGGTTGCTCTTGGTCTGACAGCCATGACCCACCTTCAGGATCACGTGGGCTCAAAACAGAAACTCATGAGTCCACTTGTCGCATAAGCGCTTCCATTTCTTTTACGCAGAATCCTTCTCACATAGCGTCATGACAAGTGCACAGGCCTTGGCCGAAGCAGCCAAAGGCCTGGGCACCTGGGACGACGCACCCTGAAGTTACACTAGGTGAGATTAATGGCCCAAAGGAGCAACGAGCAAGCCAAATATCTTCACAAATGTGAAAAGTAATTTTCTTGTGCGTAGACGAGGAATGTGGAAGGCTCAAACGAGTTTGAGGTGCTCATTGAAAAGTTAGAGCTTTGAAACAGCAACCACATTCCAAAAACGGTGCAGTGAATGATAGATTATTAATATCTAGCGTGTGTTACTTGTTTTGCCTCTGTGCGCTGCTGCTTAGGTGAAGCATGACATGAACACATTTCTTCAAAGGTAAACGAGAATTGAAAATTGATTTTGCATCCAAATTGACTTTTTTAGTTTTGAGGGAAAAACGGCAAAAAATACAAACATACCACTATATAAAAGTAAGTATTCTTCGCGATGTCGCACACAGAAAGCTGCCATGGATTCTCCTCGACGACGTCTGAGGACCTTGAAGTAGGCCCTGAGCTGGTTGGCGATCTCTGGTAATGCGGGTTCTGACATCGCTTCTTTCAAGCATTTCATGAGCTTCTCAACTCCGTCTTCTCGAGAGAGCCAACCTCGCTTCTTGTTGCTGATGGCCGCTTTTGCGGCTCCTGAGAGTTCAGCTGCCAGCCGGGGACCGCAGAGGTAGCGGTTCTCCCATTTCACTGTTTCTTCGTACAGGTAGGCGGCCTTCCTGTACTCAGTCCAGGATGCTGGATTGCCGTCCCAGGAGGGGATGTTGTCCTTGCCTTTGGTCACGGTCATGGCTCAGGGGCTACCTCTACAAAACTCACCCTAAAGGAAATCCGATTCGGATGCCCTGGATCTAAGGCTTCGTTGCTCTTTTGGCTTGGAAACCTCACACCTATCTAAAGGAGCTAGATGTGAGGCTCCGCTACCATGCAAGTGCACGGTAGCGGCCTCCGTTTTCCTACACTGGAGCGGGGGGTCCTTGAGCCTGGAGAGAACCGGGACGAGTTCCTACGGTGTTCGTGAACAGAAACCAACACTTGGCTCAGATCCCCAGGTTTAGATTCTTGGTTTCTTGGCGATGCCACCCATGCCGCAGGTCACCCCACCCGCTGCAGAGTTTGCCCATGCCGGGGCCGAAAGCCATGGCCGCCGGGGAGCCTCCAGGTGTTGGGAGAGGAGGGGAGGTAACAGGTGTTTTTTTAGGCGCGTGGCAGTGATGGTTGATGACATGGCTGTTGAGATGTTTCTTCATGCAACCAGTTGGGTTGGATAGTTCCAAAATGAGCCAAGACATGTCGGATGTTTTGGGGTGTTGATACGAAGGAAAATCGCGCTGCTCAACAACCTTCCGTCCGATTGGTCTCGTGCTGCCTCCGTTGGAATCCGTTTCTGGAACACGAAAAAATGGTCCTTGGCATTCGAAGCGGTTGGAGTGTCAGTCGGTTGGATCTAGATCAGGGTTCAACAAGCTGGCTGGAATGAGGACTGGACTTGAGGTTACAAAAAGAGTTGCAAGGTGTTGCAGTCCCCAAGGACCTTTCGTTAGGAGAGTGAGGTGGAGTTTTTCACGAAAATATGGCTCAGTGGAGCCGTGGAAGTCTGGTTGTTGAAATACTTGAGCATCATATAGTTACATAATTTAATACACCGTGCATTTTTCCGGTGGGGCACATGTACATCCAGGACTCAATTATATACTCGGAATGATAGTCTATGATAGTCTTCTTTCTTTGAGTCTTTTCGGAATAGGGAAGTCGATAATCAACTCTGGATCCATTTCAACTATAGGCTTGGTTGTGGATCTAATTGCCGCAAAAGATTTGCAAAAAAATATTTTGCGTAAACAAAGGTTGTCTTGTGCAAAAGCCAAGGAGCTATGGATTCGATTTGATCAAAGGAGGGAGCCAAACCTAGCATGGCGGTGTGACCGTCTTTTTGGGGTTCTCGCCGTGGAGGGTTTGTCGCAGCCTTTTTGCTTCAAAGATACATCCAAGAAGTGGACGCAGGTGCGACAGAGGGACCGATCGAGGGAGCGAACCAACAAGTGAGGGACCGAAGGCTTGCGCTCTTGGGAACTGTGAAGATCAACAAATACATGAATTCCCGAGGCTTATTGATGGGGTAAACATGATAATTTGTCAGTATGATAGTCAGCCCTCTCACAAGGTGATGTGAGCAACATTTGACAAAGGACTTGTATGAGGAGCGAATCTTGAACCAGTCCACAATTGTATTTATCCTTCCTTGATTGAGAGTTCCCTGACCCAATTGACCAATGAACAAAGACTCACTTTTCAGACACAAGTCTCCTAATTACCAGCACCGGGTTCATGAGATCCCTGCTGCACTCGTAGTTGTTGGTCAGGAATGTAGCTGTTTGAAGGTGACTTGCCGGGCCTTCTCATGATTTTCATGGATGATTTGTCCATTGATCATTCACGATTTGTTGCGCGATTTTGTTCCATCATGAAGCCCGATGATGCGGTTTCTCACGTCACTTTGCCCCCTTTCAAGGATCTCATCTTGAAAATGTCTGCTGAAGAGATTGCGATGCTCGATGCCGAAGATAGCATCGAGCAGGCACGATGCTTGCGTCCAAATCTGGTCTTGTGATCATGATAGAGCTGGCAGTAAACTTACAATTTGGGGTGTGAATCATTATAGGACTCAGAGCCCAGCTGGAGTTGCCAGCAAATGCCAGAAGATGTCTTATTGGTTCAGCGGCGATTAAGCACCTTCTAAAGATTGGCGCGAGTTTTCCCATTTGGGGAGCGCCTGCGAGAGCGTTCCACGTGTGCAAGAGAACTGAGCAAAGCAAACCAGGACTTTGGGTTGACCACAACGTTTTTCATGCTCGAACTCGAAGAAATAGTTCTTTTGCTCTTCAGTGGTCTGAGTCAATCCTGACATGTTGTTCACACGCTGTGAAAAAGATGAGGGAAGGAAGTAAACCCTAGATGGACAAAGGAGTTGAGCCCAGTTTTTGGAACGGAGTTCCGCTGTGACACCGACACTTTGGACATCGTTCGACCGATCCCGGCGAGCGAGTGCCAACAACACGTTCATGTCCAAGTGCCTTGACAAAGGATGACAATGGTACGTAGGCGTTTCTTTGGATGCAGGTGCACATGGAACAAATTAACATATACAATATGCATGCTGCATGCGTATTTTGAGACTCCCGATCAATGGGTTTTGGTTTCCTTCTTCCAGGGGGTCTTCCTATGGTCCTATTTGTGCTACACACGCTTCGTCACAAGAGATGGTCCATCCTCCCGGTCTGGGATGTCACCCGGAAGTCGACCCGTCGACCCTCTCCTCTCCTCTTCCCAACCCTCGTGTGTCGTGTCCTCGCGCCTTTCCCGGCTCAGGTGCTTAGTCGGTACTCTACAGATCTTCGATCAGGCTCTCGACGCACTCCGCACTTTTCGGAAATTGCAAAGTACTGAGAAAAACACACCGCACCTCTTGCAAGGGTAGATTGGCTGAAAAAGAAAATATCCATGCGATTTGTTCTTTTCGGCCTGACCATGGTGGAGTGGCTTCAAGCCAAGAAATATCTAGATTTGTCACCACCATGGTCCAAAGTTTCCATGGAAGTTCGTCGCATGGCTACGTCTCAAATCAAACACATGTCTGAAGGGGATCGACCAGAAGGACACTCTAGAAACTCACCTCGAATCCAGTAAACACAATAAACACAGCACGTCGACCTATTAGAGTGGTCGATTTCAACCAGTGACGTGGGACATCTGAGCACGGGGTGATCTTGGTTGTCCAAAAAGCCAAAAGCTTCGGGACAGACGCCTGTTCGCTGACGTCCTGGGCTGAAACCAGTCCCATGTCCTATGTTTGTTGGGAGAGGTGGCTGGGATGACTTTCACCCGGCCCAGTGTTCTTACTTGATTGTAAGTTTTTGGGAGGGCATCCAGGAGATCCCCTGCCGTCTGACAAAAATAAGTAACACTCACTGAAATGCAATTTGATTAGGTTTTCAGCAACGTTTGGTATCTACACCCAGAGGTAAGAGGGCCTGCCTCATTTGGTTTGACACACCCGTGTTTGTTTCCTCACAGGTACTGAAAACCGCCCAGCGGCCACAGAAACGCGCCAGGATTGACTTCTGAGGCAGCAGAAAAGAAGCTCAAGGTGGGCAGCACCAGTAGAGAGGAGGGCAAAGGAAACGCAGGTGTTTCTTTTTTCCAAAAGGATTTGTTTTGGTCGTTTTTGAAGGTCCTTTTGAAAGCCTTAACTTGGGAGTCCAATTAATCCTGGGCGCGTACGCAAGCATACCAAAGAAGCTGGACTGGACTGGAGATGTCAACATAGCTCCTCTTTGAGATGTCCCCCAACATTGGGCCTGGACCTTGGGGTGTGTGTTTCCCCCACCCAGGAATCCAATCCAATAACTATATCGTTTCTCTTGGTAAGCTTGAAAAGGGAAAACATGGGAAAACCTTATGCACTGTCACGATCGACTGTTGCTGGGTGTGGGTACGAGTCAAGTTTGACCAGCACATCATGTCGAACTTTAACATTAGTACGAACTGAAATGTTTACCACCTGACACCATCTCCGAGGGCCTGTTGAGCACAAACACCTCAGAATGCATAGCCATGCAGGGACCATAAACACTCGTGACACTGATATGCTGCTCAACCAATAGAAAGTGTGTATTGCTCCCATGAACCGACAAGGCCAGGCCAGTGGCCCTTCTGAGCAGAGATCCAGGGTCCGTTGTCCATAGCCGCCATAGCCCTCACAGTCGAAACCCAAAAGGGCTGTGGTTGGTACTCACAGAGCCCATGCAGTGGCCTGAGTGGCCACTGCCCAGGCAACAAACACTCAGAATGTTTCTGAGTTATATTTATATCAGTTTTGAAAAACAGCAACCCAGCTTCCAACAAACATGTTCCTTCGACACCACAGAAGATCGTTCGATTCTCTCTTCAGAAGAACATTATTGCTCCGGACAGCACGATCAGCCTTGCAGGAGGACGGCCTCAATGAGCTTTACAAACCTCCCAAGCCCACCTTGTTGATGCTCTTCATCATGCAGTCACTGGGCACCAGACTGATTTGTTGATTGAAGTGCAGCTATCCACGTGCGTGGCCGTGGTATATAATATCTAGTTGCGGTGTGCGGTGTGGTTTCTCCAGTTACGTGCTAGTAGTTTCGTGGAGAATGGCTCAGAGTTCGAGTGCACGGGTGTCCTTGTCCGATTGTCCGACTACAAAGCGCCTCCAGTCAACCACTTGACCATTTGTGATGGGATCATGCGGAAGCCAATCTTCCACTAGTCACTAGTCAACCGGAATGTACCACGGCGAAAAACACATCCTTCCACAGAGCGTTGATCGTTTCCAGGGTCCATCTGCGACCGTTTCAGGTGGGTCCGATGCCCCACTGTAAATGCCACACTGCTGATCAAAGAGTTTTGCACAACATGTTAGGGCTTTGAGCTGGATCAGTTTTTCCAACAGTTATACCTCCCAGGTTGCTGGGTTTCATCATCATTCTCTTGATTATCGCCGCAGTGGCCTCGATGACTGTGAGCCTTTGATGAGATTTGTGGATTTGAAGAGCGTAAACCTGTGGATTCGTCCCAGAGCCGGCAAGCATGGAGAAGAATGCGGGGCAGACTGACGATTCTGCGCCAACTGTAACGTGTTCTGTTCAACGATACTAGTATCAGGGAGCTTGAGGTAATAAACCAAAGACACTCGTTTCTTTGGTGATATGGTGTGCGCAAGTATATTGGACCAATACTACGGATCTATGGTAAACTCCCAAATGTCATAGTTTCTCACCCCTGGATTCCTTTTTGATTCTCACATTTGCTATATGTACGATGCAGGGTTTCAAAAGGCTTCCATCTCTAAAGGAAGAATCAAGGCCGAACATTGAGGCCCTTTGCAGATGCTAGACATTGACTTGTTTACGTTGCACTGTGTAATTAGTCGCTGGCTGGCTGAGGTCTACAGGATGCCCATGCTCCCAAAGAAATCAGAAATCATCAATCAGATTCTTCCAGAAAAAAGTGCCAGCGTGAAACGCAGCGTGTTCAAGAAAAGCAATGCTGAATCGGTGGACGAACTGCAAAAGGCTGACCGGCCGGACCAGACTCTCGCTGTTCCGGCCAAGCTCGGTCAGGCCGGCACGTTCAGATTGTTGGCCGCATCAGGTGTTCCTGCAGTGCGACCTGGTGCGACCGATTGCCACGACTTGTTTTCGCCACACGAACGCGTAAGGGTACCGGTCCCCCCACTCCATTGGTGAATGGAAGGGTACCGGGCCCCATCAGCATTGAGCGCGGGGGCGCAGAAAGGGATCTTGCGCAGACCCCTGAAGCACAAGGGTATCCTGCGCTTTTTGCTTCAGCTGTGGTGTAGGCATTGCTGTGTCCAGAAGGGCAGAGCGCAGACTTTCGTGGGGCGAGGCTCTGAAAATACTTTCTGGCAGCAGCTTATTTGACAAAGAAGGCATGTTCTTGCCAGAGTTTTGCTTCTGCCACACATGCCATGAACCACTCATTGGATTCTGCGCTGTCCACACTGAAAGACCCGTTTGTGGACGACGCTTCTCTCTTACATGTCCTTGAAGACGTGCGTGCGGAGATTGTCAAAGCTGGCAAAACATGTTTCTGTTTATCAAGAAGTGTTTCGCTGTACATTCCTTGGGCTAGACTGTTTGCGGAAAAGCATTGAGTCCATCGGGGCAGAGATTGCATCGGTCGATGGCAGCGTCGAAAGGTTCCCGCCGGACCTCAGCCGCGAGTTCCGCTTGGCAGTGTTCCCCGCCGGACCTCAACCGCGAGCACCTCAAACGCCAGCTCCCGACCGCACTGGGCACTGCCGGACCTCAACCAACAGACAACCACAAACACACAATCACAAACACAGAGCTGCAAAACCACAGACACACAACCCGAGGACCCACAAACAACATCCAGAACCACAAAGCTCACGACCATGGCAGCGTGCTCCTCACCATCGCATGAAGACAAATGATTGTGAAAATGTCATGGTGGGGATCACTCGAAGATACTCGAAGTAAAGCATTTTGTGTCACATTGTCACATTTCACAACACTTATAGTTGAAGTTTCCGACTGTCGTGACATTAGACTCGGATGTCCTACAGCCAGCACAAAGTGCACACAAGGGATCACGTGTGATCCTCCATGATGAGTTCACGCGAGAAGAAGCTCTGAGGAACGCCACGGGCTCCAAGAAGGACGACCCCCTCTCATACACCACAGGCGCCTGCGGTGATTTGTTTGTTGAATAGCAAAGTCTGTGGCAACGGCCTGGATGCCCTAGGCCTGGAGGCCTCAGGCTTGGGTTTCATTCATCATGTTTCATCCGGTTCGTTCATGTAATTCGTGGTGCCGCTGATTTGGAACTTTAAGATCTCAGGTTTTTGAATGCCTTTGGTTCACAGATTTTTTTAGTTCTCTTGGTTTCACTGCTGAACATTTTGTTGAACGTTGGCCGGACATTATTTTGTACTTTCAAGAAAACAGGCATGGAGTGCACAGAAACCCTTTGATGCTCAAAAAGAGAGTATTTGCAATGACCCCCCACCCTAGTGGTGTTTCCAGTGGAATTTGGCTCACAAGTAGGGTGGTACGATTGCTTCACCAAGGGCATGGCCATTTGTCGGCACCCAATCCCCTTTGTAAAGAATCACAGAATCAGTGGGTCTTTGCCAAAATTAGCTATAACTAGACTATCACCATTTAAGCTGACATTAAACTTAGGGTGTAGATTGCAATTGAGAACAAAGCAACAGACCAATCCATGTTGAATATCATTACCCGGCCCCACCCTTCTGAACGTTTGAACAACAACCGCGAAGTCACTGACCATCCCCCTGAGGAGAAGTTGCAATAGATACCGTTCTCAGTTTTCTCCTCGCGCTCACTGACAGGCATTGCGATCTTCGTCATTGCACCTGGGCGGCATCGTTTGCTGTACTTTGGGTTTCCATGAGCTCTCAGGTGAAATGTCTCATTTGATCTCCCACTCGGCATGAAGGGCATACGATTAGGGCCACTCTGAGGCAATCTTTTGATAGTTGCATGTTGAATTTTGACATGTTCTTACTCTACGCTTTGTTGCTTAATTAGGTGGAGTTGCTGTGACGGAAGAAGAAGCCAGTATAATTCATACCAAAGACTAATAAGTGCATCTTCTTTTCTTTTTCGATGAATAGGCCAGTGGCAGCCGAGTTCTCTTTTGAGACCAAACTCCCCCAACTCCCCGCCATTCGCACGAGAAGGGTGCACCGCTACTGACGTCACCCCCCACGGGATCCGGACCGTCGTTTCGGACGTGCGGAGCTCAAGCAGCGGAGCTCAAGCGACCTAAACAGCTTTGGTAGGGGAGGGTGGTGGTTTTCTCAAGCAACTCCCAGTGTTTAGTAAGGAAGTCTTACATGGAACTTCCATACCAGCCAAGCTCCAGGGCTTGGTATGGGGTTGGCCAGACCTGTCCTGCTTTCGACCTCCAAAGAGGTGATCCTCAATGCGGGCATCGCGGCTTGGACGGAGCACAAAGCCGGTGATGCTCTGGAAGCCTTGTCCAAGATGACCCAGGCAGCCATCTATGCCACTGAGACAGAGCTGGATGAGGATGGATGAGGAGACAGTCCGGAGGGTTTAGGTTTTTCGTGCCAGTTTGGCTCAGTTTTCTCGAGTGAATACGTGGTTTAGGGTTCCTGAGCGATGGCGAAAGCATGCAATCCCCCACAAGCATCTTCAACATCTGATCCCTTTTGGGGCAGGATCCATAGTGAGCATTTGCAATCAAAGAACTGGCCCATAGCCAGTCTTCCCAGGCCTTCCACTGATTGGTTTGTCTACAACTACGGGAAGGTTGGATACTGGATACAGTTAAAGATGTTCCTGGAGGAACCACAACAATTGAACTGACATCCAAGGCCTTATTTGCGTTGTGCCCTCCTTTGCAGTTCGCACAGACCTGAAGTTATACTTGTCCCAGTTTGGTATGGCTCCAAACCCAGAGCAATCAAGAGCGCGTTTTCAGTTGAACATGCATTTCAACAGATTCACTATGTCATGACTCTGTCCGACACTGTGCAATTTGTGTCCATTCAAAGTGAGGAACAGCAAGTATTGAAGGATGATGAGACCTCTCCAAAATTTGGTTTGAGGAACGGAATGTCAGCATGGGTGTGGTGAAGCCTCCTCGTATACGCAGTAGCAATGGGGCACTGGCCATTTGGATCCATTTGGAAAGGTATCCGGATGAATAGCTTGTACCCAGGTTTCGTACGATCAGATCCAAGGACCACTCCTATAGAATAGATCCTATCGGACCACCCCTATCGCCACTCAACACCTACAATTGAAAACCATCCGGATATTGAAAACCATCTAGATATGCATACTGCAAGAGGTTTATCTCCTGTTCTCCTGTACTTACTTGGTGAGCCACCCAGCCCAGGTTGTCCGCGATGGGCCACTGGACAGCACCGGTTTTGTGGTGGGAAAAGGATCAGCCCACTGGAAAAGGTTGCCAAGAGAAGCTGGACTCTCCAACAATCTTAGTGCAGTGTCAAGAGGTACTCGTACCACTGTCATCATGCAGAATATGCTGGAACCTAGCAGCGTTTGCATCTCTATATACACGTCCCAAGAGGTTTTTGCCCTCAGGACACGTTGTTGAACGCCTCCAAGCAGTCTCCTCTTAGGCGAAACCAGAAGGCAGCTTCTCAACCACGAACTCCGTTGATGGGTTTAGTCGTGCCCAACAGACTCCCGCCTCTTTTCACTTTGACCCACCAATTAGCCACTGAGTGTTTCCATGTTCGGTTCCTGGCCGAGCACTGGGATCCTTTCTTCAACAATCCGGGATCACATCGGCACCAAGGCAGGAGGTTCAGATCACCACCAACACCGTGGTCCGTGGCGACATCGTGGTGCTCGGCACCGGCGACGTCGTCCCCGCGGAGCGCGGAGCCTCGCATCGCGTTCGCATCGCATCGCTTTGGCATCGCACGTGGCGGTCGTTGACGACGGGTCGGTCTGGGGGAGTCATTGGCTCCACGCGGGGCGGACAAAAGCACCAGAGCCATGCATGCCATGATCATAATCACTACTCTCAGGGAGTCCCAGTTGCACACAACAACTCGAGTGCTTTCTCGATGGTTAAGGTTTTGACACCGGATAATATAACATGGTTTCTTTTAAATGCTCATTGCTCCTCCTACAAGGCTGGTGAAATTCACCGACTCCTTGCAGAAGCACTCCATTTGAGCCTTAAGTCGAAAACACCCCTCAACTGCCACCATTGGTGAAAACGTCAAAACTTCCCGGCTCAGAACAATGCAGTTTGGGACAGGGCCCCTCAACATCTTCTCCCATACAGGAATCAGAAGTGCCGGGCCTCGTGGGATTCGACCACGTCGACCACGTCGACCACGTCTTCGCTCGCAGGACATGCGCCTGGCAGAGGCGGAGGATCTCAAGGTCAGTGAGATGGCGCTCACAGGCGAAGCGTTCCACACCGCTGGATATTCCCAGCGGGGGAGGAGGGCAGGAGAGAGCATTACGGTTCTTTTGCGGAAGCCTTTTTGGAATTTCGACTAATGTAGACATGTAGACTCTTGATTAATAAACCTATGGGGGGGTTATTAATCAAGAGTCTACATGAAGTTGGATTCAGAGAGAGAGAGAGAGAGAGAGTGGTGCCTCAATGCCATCTATGGCGCATCTGAATCGTAGAGAAGGTTTGGGGGGCTGCATGTTAGTTTGCCCTGCACCGCACAGGTTTATGATGATGGTGCATGGCGTCCTTCATTTAGATTAAACAAGTCATTCTATTCCCTTTTTCCATATGTAGCGGCGATCATTAGGGTGTGTCATTACCAGTAACGGTGGGTAAACGATTATCACTATTTTGGAGAACGAGTCTTTACTAAGCATATCTAAGCATCATCCACTGAAACCTGGTGATGGGATATACCATGATATACCCCAAGGCATCATGTCTGTTTTTTTTTTTTTTTCTGGGGGCATCCTCATGAGTGTTTATCAGTCCGCTGTCCATGCTCGTCACCGATCCCCGCCAGGAGAGCCGGACGATGCAGGGGCACCCAGTCATTTTGTGGGCTGTGATGATGAGCATATTTCTGATGAAAAGCAGTCAGGAAAAGTCTCAAGAAATCTGGCACCAAACAACTCAGCTTTTGGAATGTAACATGGGTCTGACGGTCTAACGGTCTAACTAGCTCTAGCCGGCAGCCTCTTTGCAGCATTGGACGTGATGGTATGGAAGGACTGGTCCCCTAATCGTATGACTTTGACCCTTTGGACGGCCAACCAGCGAAAGACACTTGTTGCGGCGCTCTCGTCAAGAGTCCAAGCTTTATTGGTCAAGAGTCCAAGTATCAATTAAACCATACATGGCCACATGACATCATAAACCATAGCTTTGTTTCCCGGATGCGTTCGAACTCATCGACCCGGTTCACCCGGCATCCGTCTTCCATCGCTCCACCTCCGTCCGTGAGGTCTCCAAGACCTGGAAGTTGAAACCAAGGAAAGAGGCGCGCTTGGCGTGGGGGGAAATTGGTGCCATTGTTGGGGTCTGAAGTAGTATGTAGCAGGTGAGTTGTTTTTTTTTCCAGAAAGGCGGACATTTGTTGGTGCATGTATGGTCTTGGGCTTAGTGTGACAGTAGAACACGCATCACACTTGTCAAGAGTGTTTTGTTTTATTGTTTCTTTCTTTATATAAGCGTTTATGGATGTTTATGAATGGCAGCTAGACGTCACCTTGGGATTCTTTGTAGAATTCCCACAGCAATCAACATCAAGCGGGGGATCTGACCTCTAAGTGTCGCCATCCTTTCTGATCCCAAGACAGCCGTTTCACTCAGCGAAATCGCCAGCAGACTCGGCCTTTTTCACCGGCAGAAGTTCCTCCACCGGGATCTGTCACCCCCCACAAGGTCAGGACCTGTTCTTTTGGGGAAAAAAGCTTTGGAGAATAATGGATTTACCTGGGAAATCAATGGATAGCTTGGAAACTCCTTTCACCAAGCTCCAGCTACGATACACAGCCCGTGGCACACCTAGATGTGGAGATTCTACCGCTTCATGATGTGGTGGTGTTAGAATGTTACTAGAATTCTACACTCCGTGAAAGAATCATGGAAGTGGATGGCACGGCCCCTTGGATGACCGTCAAATCCTCTACAAACACGTGGTGAATTCCACTTCCATGCTAATTTTCCTCGGAGTGTATGGCTCTTTGGGAATTAACTTATGTTCGCCGGATGTTTTAAATCACCAAACAGACGACTTGCTTTTTGGCCCAGTCTCCCAAACTACTAATCATTATATATTTATAGTTATATAACTAGTGTATTTATAGAACTATGGCTCCAAAGATGCAGAGGAAAAAGGACGCTCCTTTTGGAGTCTACTAATTGCAGACGAGACATTAACTAGTCGTCTCCGTCTCCATGGACATCTGCACGCGCAACAGTCAACCTTTCCGTGTTTCTGGTTGCAGGGTTTGCTAACCACACACGGAACGAACGAATGGATGTTATTATTACCAATTATTACGTTCAACCACATGCAGTTGTTTTTTTTTGCTATATCATCAAGGAGCGAACCATATCAAGATCAACAATCATCAGGCAGACTCCTCGCAAAAACCCGCTGATATACCAAACTGAAACCATGATGCACGTATCATTGCCGCAGCTGGAACATGGGCATAAAAAATATACATGTGGCAAGGATTTCAACAATTTCGACAGGAAGTAAATCCAGCAACACACAATTTCACTCAGCAGCTATGAGTCAACGAGTGAAAGTGCATGAATGTGCATCACCTCCGGCAAGTCCGCCAAGTCCAAGTCTCACTCGAGCCCAAGTTCATTTGTCACCTGCAAGTTGGCCAAGATAACATAAAGGTACAAATAGAAGCAGGTAATTAACACATGAACCCTCCGAAGAGAACCAATCGTACTAATGGTTTTCCAGTTTTCCACTAAACTGAACCATACATGTTTCTTTAAGGTACATACCGCACATTGCATACCCTGTTCGAAACGATTCCGTTTTTCCTTCACCACACCAGCTACGAGCGCCAGGGCGAGCCTGAGAAGCTGACGCCAGAGGTTTGCGTCTTCTCGGGGTGCAACGTCACCAATGGCAAGGCCGTGGTCGTTGCGCAATCCCATGGTCTTTGGGTCCTTTTGGGTGGTGAATGCAGCGAACTCATGCAAACTTACTGGAGGATTCATGTTCTGCTGATTTCTGTCTCTTCAGCCATTCCATCATCTTCCGCTTTGCCTATAGCGATTTTCTGGCAGAACACCGGAGGGGTCGGACGTCACGTGTGAGGGCCGTGCCGTCACGTGTGAGGGCCGTGGGGTCGTCACCGCCACCGGCATGGGCACGCGCATTGGCCGGATTGCTCAGCTCATCGCCGGTGAGGAGCGGGTTGGGAGGGTTTCGGTACGGCACCGAGGGTTTGGACACGTGGGGTTGAGGGGGTTGGAGGTGGAGAGATGAGAAGGAGGGCAGCTTGTAGTGATTTGTAGTGGTTTGTAGTAGTACTACAGTAGGTGCCGAGAGAGTGGTATATATTAGTTTCTGGATACATGAGGAGACTTCGTGTAACTCGACTCTTAGGACTACCCTCGGCCTTTTTTCTGTGTCCAGGGCCAGGACGGAAACCTCCAACAAGAGGGGCAGCCTGGCAGCCTTGTGATGGGATGATCATCCATGACCGGGAATCCGAAAGAGAGAGGAAGAGCAAAGGCACTGGGAATCAGTTTGAAGTGCGAATCAAGTGCGAATCGCCTCAGAATCCAGGCAGATCCTACACGAACACAGCGGTCTCTAGCTAACTCAACCCTTCAGCGGTCTCCCGGGTTTCCTCACTAAGGTGGGTTTCCTGGACCCATAAGTTCTACCTCTCACAGGTCAAGAGGACGGCATAGCTCCAAGCATCCCAAGCATCGAGAGGAGTTCTCCGCAGACGTCCACTTCTCTGGGTTCTGGAACTTCGCAGACGAATCGCACCAAGCAGGAAGCGACCTTTTATGGACGCCATATACTACCATGCAATTGCATACCCAACAGAATTCAAAACTGGGACTTGACCCCATCAGAAACCGATGGAAGAAGCCCTCAGCATGGTCTAAGGGCCCATCCCTACATCCATTTGCATGCACTGCCGGTCCTTTTTCGTCAGGAGGGCCCCAAGAAGAAGTGCTTTTGCTTGCCCGATACCTCGGCGAATCAGACGCCCCTCCAAAGGCGCGGGCGGATCGAACGAAAGGAAAGCGAGCTCTGCTCGGGTCACGTTTGCACGGAAGATGTTGTCAAGTGGGTTGCTGGGGTCACTGGCGTCGATTGATCCTTAAGTGAATTGTTAGTGCCAGTGCCTATTCACTGTTTCTTGTTTTTTTTTGGGGGCAAGTTTGCAGCTGGGAGGTAGGCAACGATAATCAGGTTCAATGGGTGCTTCACAACTGCAAAACGTCCTTGACTCGCTTGACTTGCGAGACCTGCAGCTGAACTTGCTGGGATGTGAAATTTCCCGAACCACGACAATGAAAAACACAATGCACGCAGACAACGCACAAGCCCACGGTTCCTGGACTTTTGTGCGCTCCTCAAACAGATGCAGCAGTGAGCTACTGTACTAAGTGTCTTTTCAACTCTGTCCTTGTGGGATAATTGTCCATCTAGTTTGGATGTGGTCTAATCTTGACAAGACCAAAGCAAGTTACAGGATCCTTCCACGGGACCATCCTAACAACATCTAACCACTGACCATTTCAGACGGGATCCTGTAGGTCGGTGTCTCCCTGTAGGTCGGTCGAAGGCGTGTTGAAAGACTGCACGTGTCCATGTTTGTCCTCGTGAACCGCAAGCCTCGCTGGAGGAACCTGGAACAGCTGGGTGCGAAGATCGGTATTTTAGCGATCGTCGTCACTGGGCCCAGTCTGTCTCCCTTCACCATGGAGCATGGGCTCCGTGGTGGGTGGACGTGGGGCACACGGGCAACGGTGGGGATGGGGTAGAGCGCCCTTGGCAGGCTGAGCTTTGACTTATTACTGTATCAGGATTGATCAGGTGTTTTGCACAAAGTTCGGAACTCGCTGCAGTTGGAAGTCATCCCAAAGATCGCCCCAAAGTTGAGCAAACGATGATGCCACTGCGCTCATCATTGACGTGGGTGGGTGACAACAGAGAAGAACCGAGGCAATACACGTGGATGGCCCACTTGTGTGGCAGTTATTGAGAGTTGACGCCCATGTCTCGTGGGAAAACATGTGTGTTACAAACGCCCCAGGGCCTGGGCTGGCCACACTGGGCCGCAGTCCGAAGACTCCGAAGATGCCATGTCTCGTTAGGAAAGAACCCAGTGCACCCACCTGCAAAGTTAGATGTCAGATTTCTGAAACATGGACCACTCCACTGGGTTCTTCTACGCGTTGATGACTCTACTAGGGGCTCCTGGCATCGCTACGAACGGAGCGATTCGGACGCTACGAACGGGGCTCGTGGCCTTACTACGAACAGAGCAAGAAGCTACCTCTCGGGTGGACGACTGTGGAAGACTCTCGGGGAACCTGCGATGGAGGAATCTGAACGGCCTTGAGGTTTGCGTGTTGGTCTTCATCATCGGACGCTGGAAATGGAACAGGGTGGGGTTGGAGAATGGTGAGCGTGACTCACAACGAGGTCAGGGGAAGGTTTCTTTGAAAGCCCTTCAAGGCATGGGAGGAGACGTGACATTGGGACAGAGCCAATGTTTGTCTTTCTGGGTAATTCTTTGTGATTTTGTAATGCAAAAGATGCACCTAACATGTGTCGGCATCACTAGCATCATAAGTTTGTCGGGTGCATCATTTTGGAACATGATATAAAATGGCTCGCAGTGGGACTCCGAAGTTTCTGGAGAGTGGGTGACCCCAAGCTGGAACTCTAGGTCGATCTTTTGGCAAGGCAAGAATGGGCCAAAACGGGTACCTCGTCCAAATGATTTGGTTTGCGGGTCGCCGCGAGTCCAATGTTAACTTCCACTGGCTCCCCTTCTGAGGAGTGTTTATACCAACTTTCAAATCCTGGATATCCTTAGTTGGTCTACTGCGGGGTCAGACCAGTCCACCTGACCCCAACCTACTCTTGGTTGTTGCAAACGAAAAACGAAGACACCTGGCAGGTGGTATAATTGGCAGGTCTCAAGCGAAGAACGTCCGACCGGGTATCCCTGAGCAATTGATCTTTTCTGCCGTTGCTTGCCAATCTCAACTTAGTCATTGCAAAAGCATGCAAAGTCTATATACTACCAGTTTCTTCAAAGATTTCACTGTGACCTTTTGGAGTCCCTAACTTTGTGCTTCCCCTTGCCAGGCGACCCCTACGGCTGGCCTCTGGGACCCACCGGAGCGCGCAGCTCCACGCGCAACATCGACCGATCGGTCTGAGGCGTCGCCTTGGATCGAAAGCCCGTGGAAAGCCGAAAGGACGTGGACAGCCAAAGCGGAGCCGAGAGCGGAGCCGAGACCGGTGCCGCGTTGTACATGGTCACTCGACCAGACGCCAGCCTGGACAAAGACATGACGCAAGCATAAAGGCTGAGGACTTGACCTGGTGATGGAGTTGAGGGGATTTCATATGATTGCACCATGTCCGAGAACTACCAATGACTCAAACTATCTCAAACTCATACAAATTCAGGTACTTGTGGTGTGGGTCGAGGTTCACCAAATATCTGAAGAGGATTCCAGTAGATCACCACCATCCATGTTTTGGAATGATGGAAAACACATGAATAAACATATATGCCCAACGCCAAACACCCTGCATTTTGTTAACGGTTTGGCCTTGTTGACCAAGGTCTTGATTGCGGTGACCCTTGCAGTGGCAGCCATCCCCGAGGCCGAGCGCACGCATGGCGTGTGGGTGTTGGGCGGTTCCAGGATGTGCTTGAGTGACACTTGACAACCTACGAAGTGTAGCGCTACTTATAAGGCGGGGGTCGAGAATGGTGGAGATGTCGGTAAACAATGTGAACTGGAAAGAAGATCCAAGAACTCCCGAAACACTGCCCATCCCCTCCTGTCCAGGCATCTCTGTTTGCTTTCTTCACGATTTGGTTTTCTTGGCAGTGAGGTAACCCCACAATCGCGGGCTCAGGGATTCGGGAAATATACAGTGTTTGCGCGATAATATGGGTTCATCGGATTCTAATGTTGAAAGTGGCTGGGTATTCCAAGCAGTATTTGCTTCAGCCACTAGCCAATAAGGAAGAATCATCAGCAACTGTGTACTGTAGATTGTTCTTCCGGAAAATGCTTTTTGGCATCCCCTAAGAGTCAAAATAGAGTCATTTTACCCCTATGGTAGTGAGGTGTACTATGCCTCCCAGGTGGGGTAGTTCATGATAAAACGGAAGTTCTGGGGTCATGCCCACTCCGACGAAATGACATGGCAGCTGTACCCTTGTGCCAGTTACTGAGTAGTTCCCTAAACCATGGCAGTAGTGAGTAGAACCATTTTCTCCACGCGCTTCTGTCGGCTCGGAAAATGTCCCTCGCTGCCCGGCAGGGCATTCCCCTCTGTGTGACCATCTCCCTCTCGATCGGATGCAGCGACATGGTGAACCAACACGTGCTGGTGCGCCACTCGGCAAAGCAGGGTAGGCGCCCGAATCAGGTTTTCTCAGGTTTTGCGACATGAACATGGGCAGACTAGAGTTCTCTCATTGGAACTTGGAACTACGTTTTTTTCGATGACCTGGGGAGAATCCAGCGGTTTGTGCAGCCGCCAAGCTTTGGAGTGTCTCAAAGTGGTCATATCTCTCACCATCTCTGAGCCATTCTGAGCCAATGGTGGGTCTTGCAAGCAGACATAAGCAGACATTCTTTGGGCCTATATATTAATCAATATAATATATAACAATAGTAATAATTATAATTGTATTGGTTTATTCACAGTATCTACCATGTTCTACCTATGGTCCTATGGCTTGTCATCAGAAACAACCATCTAACCCTCAAGAATCCCTCAGCTTTGACCTCTTCAGCCCAGCCCCGGCATCTCGCTCCCGCAACTTCTCCAATTCAAAGCAGTGCACACTCGGGGACCCTCCCCGTTTCGCACCCCCGTTTCGCACCACGTGTGCGGACCCGCGGTGTTTCCACTTTCCACCGCGGTGGAAACGGCGCGCGGAGCCTCGAGGAAAGCTGGCGGCGGTGGAGACTTTGGGCTCCGCCTCGGTGATCTGCAGCGACAAGACGGGGACCTTGACCGAGGGGAAGATGACCATGGCCTCTCGGAGGGATGGGAGGAGAAGACGGGACACGTGGCTCACAACGATGAAACGACTTGATCGGAGGAGGGGAAAAGCAAAAGGAGGGGTTTGCTTGAGTGTGAGCTGAAGGTGAAAGGGTCTGAACAGGTCTTTTTGGATGTCTGGCACCTTGAGGTGGTGCATCCTTTCGGCATGTTTAGCATATCCGCATCCTTGGCACTGATTCGATTCGGTGTAGTGTGGTGAAGAAGTCCATCAAGTGGGCCTGGCTCAACGGTCTTTTGGGGAAGTGGTCGTTCAAGCTTGTCCAAAGGAGTCGTTTTTGCCTGCAGGGTTCCGGATTTCGTCGCACAAACCGGTTCCCCTGTATATGCCTGGTGATCGGTTGATTTGAGACCCTTTTGGAGGGAATCAATAGCCAAGCCAGAGTAGCTGGAGCATCTTCCGACAATCTTTTGCAGAACCCCTACGCCGACTTGGAACCCTTTAATATATATATATAGTCCTCAAACAAACATGGCAACACTTGTGACTTGTCAGTTTAATTAATCAGATCACCATAGATCACCACTTTCTTGTCACTTACTAGAGATCTGTAAGATCTTGTAAGGTCCAATGGACCAAGACCCGGTGTGAGCCAAACGCCACCCGCCCGTGTGTTCTGGGGCCAAAGCCTCCTCGGCCATCGCTGGCGAGGTGAACATGTGGGCCGGCGGTGTGACCTACGATGTGGGTGGCAAAGGCTTTGATCCAACCGTTGGGAGGATCACCACCTGTGACACAGGCGGGGATGGGACATGAAGAAGACTTGGGAGAATCTCAAAACATGTAGGAAACCGACGAGAGAAAAGCGGTGCTTCGCTTTTGAGAGCGACTCAAAAACGACCGGGAAACTGCACATGGTTTGTTTGTTTTTTTCCCCTCGAACAGTCAGTGTGCTTGAGTACAGTAGTGCACCTTTTTGACCCATAGCAAGTTGAGCAAGAGCTCTGGAAATTTGTCAATGAACATCAGCTAACAACCTAGAGTTTTGCAGTGCAGGCCTTTTCTTACGAAACAACAAGTATGATAGCAAAGTTGGTCATATACAGCTTCAAAATGGGTTGGTCTTACAAAAGCAGGCCTAAACCGCTGAAATCCCCTCCTTCCCAAAAAAGGAACGCTGGGCAGACGGTGTCCAACACAGCAAGAACGCACCCAAATCCCCAGGGCAAAAAAAGGGCAACAAGCTGAAACGGCCCTGCCTTGCCGGTCGCAGCCGCGAAACCGCGCGCAACGACGCGCGAAGCTCGCGCTCCGACGCGCGTGTCGTGCTTCCGGCGAAACACGAAGCGGAGGCGTCGAAGCGGGTCGACAGATGGGCGTCCGGTCGACCTTGCTGTCGGGGATCCTTTGCTGTGCCTTGGAGGTCGAGGTGCTGTCGACGTGGAGATGTAGGGAGTAGTTGTTGTTTTTGGAAGGAGAGGTCGCCAGTGGGGCAAGGTGGTTCGGCCAGAACAAGGAGCAGAGGATGAGCAACATTGAAGAATCATTCAAAGCACCAGATTTTGTGAGTATGTACGGGTGAAAGTTGAATGAATGTGATAACATGTGAAGAGTGACCTTTAACGACTTCAACGACTAGTTCAGGTTTTCACTACGTTTTGGGTGACAATGTTGGATTTCCGAACCTTTTGCCATAGATTTTGACGGGGAACAACGTTCTGAACATTGTGCACGCATTCAGGTTTTGTTCCCCACCACCCTCAGCCACACTACTTGGATGGTCCAATCTTCTGATAGATGGCGGAACATCCGACGACGCTACAGTAAAATTTCAGAAATGCACTGGCCATACTTTTGCACATTTTGAAGCTGTTACCATGGACCCTCCCAAGGAAGAATCCTGGCCGATCGCAACAGAAGTCAAGAAACAGACATATGACTATGACATATGTTGTAACTACAGCCATGCGCTTGATTGACTTCACACATTTGGATCCTACCAACACCGACTAATGGTGTCCAATCTAAAAATCTTTGTAGCCTATTTTCCTTTGTTGGAGAGGGACCTCCGCACGACCACTCTACAGAAGGAGGTATTGGCTTCAAAATACACACAGTAGGGGGGTGCAGGATCCAAGGCTAGCCTCGTTGAGGGGATTTACTTGTCCCTTTGGGTGTGAGTGTTGTGCGAATGACTCACTCAGGCAACACCACCCTGGACAAGGCATGTGGAAGGACATTCTGGTTGGCGTCCAAATCTCGAATTCTCTACCATGCACAGCTTTAGGATGAATTCACCCAATATGAGCCCTCTTTGAAAAACTGTTCACTTAAAGCGAATTCACAACTCTTTGTTACAGGGAATTCGGAAAAGCGTTTTCCACTTGAGTGGATGAACTATATAAGTGTTTGTGAGAAACCTAAGATGGGTTGTATATGAGATGATAGTAGCATGTTGGGTGTTTGGTAGCTCCCCGGAGCTACAAAAAAACATGATGTGCTTAGCCTTTGTTACTCGTAGCCCTATGTAGATCCATCCACCTTGTTCTTTGCAACTTGAAACAGTCAGGCGGTATCATGATGAAACATGTATCAATCTCAAGCATCCAGCTGCTCGGGAAGACAACGGAAGCTAGAAGCTACTAGTAACACGGGCCATCGCTAGTAGTAACAAGTGCATCGCTACTAGTAGCTAGAAGCTACGAACGTAACAAGGGCATCAGTTTGGCCTACCCACTTCATCCAACCAACGAGGGACTGCCTTGATACCGAGTAACTGCCTTGACCAGACTCCAGATGTCTTGGGTCGTGCAGTGTGCGGTTTGCGAACCAGGTTCGAGATCCAGATACCGGTGAGGAGCTGATTTGGAGGGCGGGAAGTGGGCATGGCCTTGGCAGCACGAAGTGATACGAAGTGTGGGATCTATGGGAGAGACATTTGGAGTCAAACATTGCCAACACAACTTTGGCGGTTAGAACACAACGTCCCTGCCTTGCACAGACTCCAAACAAAAGAATTGCAACCAGCGGCGTGAACTGCAGTTGTTGGACCTGCCAGACCTCCCAACGACCTGTCAGACCTGGCACATCCTGCCACCGTCTCCGGATGCCACGGCGGTCCGTGACGGTCTCCGTCGTCGCGCGTCGTGACGTCAGGAGAAGTGGGAGCCGCGGGGCAACTCCTCGGAGGCGCCCATCGTGGTGGCCGCCCGAAAGGTGGGCCTCACGGAGAACGTGTGAGGGACGCCCAGGTCGACGGTGAAAGGGGCCGCGGTGCCGTGTCGCGGGAGGCACGGAAGGCACGGAGCGGGAGTTCGGTGGGTAATACTGCTGGTGACAGCGGTGCTTTGGCTCGGTGGAAGGTGGTTTTTGGTGGTGTGAAAGCGCGTGAAGAAGGCGCTTTCTACGGGGAGAGCGGTGAGGTTGAGTGGAGGTTGAGTGGAGGAACTCGGTGGGGAACCTTGTGGTGGGTGTGGTAGATCGGTGTAGTGTCTTTTGTGTGCATATAATTAGATAGATCCTGAGAATCCATGAAGAATCGCTTTTGCCCTGGAGCATGGTAGGTCTTGCTGCTGGTCTTTGGATGCTTAGGGATGTTTCAAGATGTTGGAAGCTATGAATCCAGTTCACCTCACTCTGCGAAGTGGGTAGAGTGCTGGTATTGGCAGCAGTCAAGTGTTGCACGGTCTTCGTTTTCGGTGGTGCCGGAAGTCTGATCTTCCATGAATTGATGCAGGAACCATCCCAACTTGTACTTGTAGGGTCAGAGAGCTATGCTTTGCTCAGGACACTTGGCAAAAAGAGCCCTTGTTTGGTTGGCAAGCCTTCCATAACGAACCATCACTTTTGGGGATGTTTGTGCCATCACTCTCCAGGCTCTCATGTTCCATGAAGCTTGGCCAAAAACGCCCTTGAGGTCCAAGGATTATCCGCGCACCATCGAGATCCCCTTCTCCTCCTCGCGGAAGGCCACAGCACCGCGACTTGCAGCGACGCGCTGAAAGACCATGCGCTCCCAGGAAGTCCTGAGAGCGTGCAGATGCACACCACATCCCATGTTTTCCCTCTGATCCAAAAGGAGAAGTTCGAGCCGTGTCGACCCACATGGGACACAACTCCTGTTCTGTGAGTTGGTAAGTCAGGTCCCAGCCAAAGTGAGAAGTGCTTCACTCAGAAAACTACAGGTAGCATGTCTGAGCATGTGAGTGTTGGGATAGCGAAGAATTGCATAGGGAGAAACCCACATCATGATAGATAGAATCATATGAAGCCAGAAGCATTATGAAGCCAGAAGCCAAGCCCACCATGATGTCTGCGTTGATCTTCCGCGTCGTTTTCTCTTCTCCCTTCTTCCATGCCGCAGATGATGCTCACCGTCTCCGACGTCTCGGGGCGGAGCCATCTCTGCGAGGACGGCATGCCGTTGCCCGAAGGCCGAAGGGGCCGGTGTGGGGGGCGATCTTTCGTAGGTCCAGGTGTCTGAGATGTGGAGTGATATAGTTGAGGTCTGTGAATGAGAAAGAAGTTTGACATGACAATCATCCAGGGAGATTGGATTTTGCCACGCAAAACCATCAAAAACCACTGGAGTTCGCCTCTTTTGGCCCGTTTTGGTTCCGTTCTACGTGGGTTTACGTCATGGTTGGTGGAACGATGCCCTGTGGGTCAAATACGCGACATGCCAGGCTTCAGTTTCCGTGACTTCCATCCGAGTATAGGCGGCCTTGCACTGGGCTTACTCGCCCCCCCCCAGTTGGGAGTTGGGAGAAGGTTTCCCAACCACGAGCTCAGCGGCGATGGCGAGTCCAAGTCTCTGTTTTCGAGCCAAAGAATATATGAGATCTCCGTCAGGCAGTGACTGTCTTCTCGTGCGACGTTTCTTTTTTCTTTTGGGTGCTAACACCCCTGTCTCAATTAAGAATGACCAGCGAAGGCTCTGCGCTTAACTGCTCTGTGCGCAAGTGAAAGTGAAAAGCTAACACCCTTTGGTAGTTACCTTTCTTTTAGGGGTGCTAACACCTGTCAGGGCTGGTAAGAAAGAAAAGGGAAATAGACCGGAAACACCCTTTGGTTACCTTGAGTTGCTTCTTTCCGTTTCGTTTGGGAACATCGACCTCCACGACTACGGCACGGACGGTCGACCTGGACGGGTGGTTGGTGTGGACAGCCGGAGGCACCAAGTACCTGGCCGTGTGCAAGGCGCGAAGCCTGGGCAGATCAGGTAGGAATCTTGATCCAATGATGCTCAAATATGCTCAAATGATGGGTTACATTGGGTTATTATGTTATAACATGTTATAACATGTTACAACATCGTCTTTGTTTCCTCCCCTCCATTTGGATTGCCATGCAGCTCTTTCCATGGGGGTTTCGTGATCTTTTACAGATTCATCAACATTCTACATGAATGCCGTGCAGTTTGCATGAATCGTGTTTCACAACGAGGCCGGCGATGCCAGGATCTGTATAGATATGCCACATGAGAGGTGTCAGCACCACACGGGATGTTTTCCTCCCCTCAGGCGTCGTCTTTTCCGTCAACTGCCGCAGTTCCCTTCGCCGTGAGTCCGAGCTGTTCCCGCAAAGACCTGCCACTTCTGCACCGTAAACGAAAACACCGGCGCTTCCGCCTCCGACCGTGCAGGGCGCTCCCAACTTCATTGTGGACCTTTGCGAAGAGCGAATGATGGCGGATGGCACCGTCGCAAAGCACCTCGGACGGGTCCGATCTGGAGTGCCGGGTTGGGGGGGTTGATGTTGGCCACGTCGGTTTGCATCTCTTCCTGTTGGTTCGGTTGATTGAGGCCCCTGAGGCTGTGCCCTTAGTCAAAGAGAAGTCTGTTGCCGGGAGGATGAATGAAGAGGAGCTGTGACCATTTTCATTAGGATGGATCGATGATGGCCATGTGGCCGCCTGTGGTCTACGTCACAGATTCTGCTGTTTTTTGTTTACGACTCTTGTTCTGTTCCGTTCACCGGGAAGACCCTCCAAAACTCCAAAACAGTGACCGAAGCAGTTGCGAGGGCAGTGTGGAAGGAAGATTGTCATCAATTTCTCCTGGTTTGCCTGAATCCTGCAGCGCCCTTTAGTGCACATTTGACTCTTCGGAAGAGTCACTTTTTGTTTGTGTTCCTGGTCACATACGAGTATTCGTACGTCCATTTCATCACTTATATAGAGACCAGAAAGCCCAATGTTTTCGAGACACCCCTGGCGAGCCTTCGTCGGGTCAGAACTTCCAGACCTGTCGTCACTTTTTCAGAGTGTCTACCGGCTTTTGGGACGTCTTAGTCGAAACCTGTATAAATGAGTGAACGGAGTGAAGACACGTCACAAGGAAAACCACTTGCCTTGTCACCCGGTGCAGAAGCATGTGGTGGACGGATGTCATTTGGTTCGGACAAGTGACATGACTCATGACCCACAGCCATTCTTGCCTCTTTGCTGCTTCATTAATATTCAAGACATTGATGATCACTTGGTTGCACAGATTTGTTCAGCCAAGGATGACAGAAGAGGCTCAGCCTGGGCTTGATGTGAAGAGTCTGCCTTTATGAAGGGGTTAGTGTTAGGCTGATGTCTGAAACCTACAGCAGCTCTGCGCAGCAGGAATGTTGTTTGTCATAACAAGGACACATGGTATCAACAGTAATTGCATGGAGCCTTTCTTGGAGCGATTGATCCTGGTGGGCCTGTGATGTGAGCTTCCAAATGGATCACTTCATTCCTGGAGGTGTTCAAACCTTAAACGCTGCTAAACAAATATCTTCTGGTTTCCACCAGTTTTGTTGTTGCTTGTTGTTGTCTCTCCACAAAAAGTCACTTACGATGTTCCTCTTCCAGTTGACACCGGTGGTGGGACACCTCGGTGAACTCAACAGAGAGGGCTGGCTTCACATCGTGAGACAGCCCCTAGACCCTAGGCCACCAAGATATAGACCCTAAGCCTTCTTGAGTAGGTTACCCTGACCGTTTTATAACTATAGAATGGCCTGCAAGGCCCCCCACCCTATAGGCCCTATATTCTATAGGGTATCTAAGACTTATATAAGACCAGAAGTCTTGTGCTGGGTGGATGAATCAGTCGGTGTTTCACGTACTTGTATCATGCTAAGAATTGCTAAGATTTTCCCGAAGGTTACGGCTAGGCTAGGGCGGCTAGGGCTGGTGATCAGGCTTGAGAAAAGCAGTTGGTGCATCCAGGAAAAGAGGCTGTTGATGACTTCTGAGAGACACATGTGTGAAAAATTGTGTCCATTGGCATCACATAGAAGATGTGGGGTTTAACATGTTTTAATGTCTCATCATGTAGAGGCCCAAAGTTGGACCTCTAGTGGTTTGGGGCTCGCAAAGGTCCAAGGTCCCATCTTGACGAACGTCACCCTACAATTGGCACAATCGGGATCGATGACTCGATGACTCTAGCACAAACACCCGATGATGATGATGATGAGGAGGAGGAGGAGGAGGGAGGAGGAGGAGGAGGAGGGAGGAGGAGGAGGAGGAAGGAGGAGGAGGAGGAGGGAGGAGGAGGAGGAGGGAGGAGGAGGAGGTCTCAATATGATGTCATGTGGTTTCACTTATGTTTCACTGCTTTGCACCTCTGTCGTTTCAGGCAAAGGCCGAAGTCTTGAAGGTGGTGGATGACTACAGCACCAAGGCGGACACTGGAAATCCTGGAGGGTGTCATCCATGACGCTATCTGGGTGTCGGTCTCATTCCGAGATGTTCTGGATCCCCATGCCTTAAATCTGAAGCTAGAGGTTAGGGTGATACGGGAATCAATTCACAAATCCAGGTAGAAGGAATGAACATCTTGATGGATCTAAACACCGAATAGGATAGAATAGGTGATATGACAAGCAAGTTCCGTCTTCTCGTTCTCAGATTCTCACCAACACGTCTCCTCTTCTGCCAGGCCTTGCGGGTCTTGGCAGTGGCTGCTCGTCCAATGAAGGAGCGACTCGGGGCGAACGGGACGGCGTGCGAATGGACGGCTCAAGACGGACGGGACGGGCTTCACAACGGCGGAGCCGGAGAATCTGAAAGAGTTGGAGCATCCGGTGGGTTCGTTCGAGGACATAGAGTCAGGAGACACAGGAAGATCGAGTCAAATAGAGTCAGAATCCAGCTATCACTCATGGTTTGATGTGGATCCAAGACCGGTTTGAGCTCCTTGGTGGACATAGTGATAAGATGTGATAAGTGATAAGTGGCCACCAGGTGACAAGTGGTGGGAGTTGAGGTCCAGGTGAGGTTTGAGCCAACACGGTGAGCCCGTTTGATCCGAGGGTGCTCCGCTTTTGCATGTTCCGTGTGGAGTGTGGATGTTTGAATGGACGATCATGGACGTGGGGGGTTAGGATTCATGGTTCATCGCGAAGTCTATGGTTAATCCTATACCTTTACCCAATCGTTTGCCTCAAGAATCCAGTGAGACCGAGCTGTCGCTTTGATTTCACCTGGCAGGAGCTGCCCTTTGACATGCACGATGACGAGCTGTCAACGGACCAGAAGTTCTCAGCTTTGCGCCAGGCGCGGGTGGACCGATGTCGAGTGGTGTCGAGGTGTTCCCTGCGAAAGGAAGAGCTTGGATCAGCCGGCTGGGACCTGCAATTCCAAGCATGTACTTATATAGCTGACTCATGTGGTTCTCCGGCATTCTGGCATGCTTCCAGATTGGAGTTTGATTGCATCACAAACGTTCAGGAATTTGTACAAGTCAGCATAATTTCGATGAAGCTGTTTAGTAAGGGGGTGTTTTTGAAATTCACCATACACATATACAAGAATCAGGAACAATCCAAAGCTATGACTATCTATGCCTATTATTCTCGGTCTACTTGATGTGACAGAATTTTTTGGTTTGGTTCAACAGGTTTTGATTTATGACTGTACCTCCATATCATTGGTACTGTTGCCATCAGATTGCTTGAGTGACATGTGTTCCAAGTTCAACCAGTGATGGTCCTGGCCATCCAGGACCAAGTGATTTTGTAGGGAGCAAGGAACACCACGTGAACTAAACCTTATTTATCACTAGTTATAAGTTATAATTAGTATTTCAAAACGTATGAATGAATGTGTTCCTGTCACCCTTGACTTCCGGGCTCTTCAATATATATATATATATAGATTAATCCCTTTCAAGGACCTGCGCCTGCTGGGCTTGGTTGCCTCTATCGACCCGGACCGAGATGGAGTGAAGGCGCGCTTGGTGGCGGTTCTCGCGTCATTTGCGCAAGGGGGCGGGAATGAGATGAGGAAGACTACGCCAAGGGGCTTTGGGGGTTCATCTACAACATGAGGCTTAGAGCATCTTTAGGACATAATTGTGCCATGACAGGGCGAGGCAACGGATCAGTATGGATGACGCGAGTAATGGGCACTTCACAATTAGGTCAAGTGTGATGGACATGAGAACGCTCATGTCAATGAGCCCCATACGATCACTCAGCGGTCCAATCTCATGTCCAATGAAGCACGTACTTTCGACCATTCCTGGACCATCCACTGAATGTTTGTTTGGGTCATACTGATGTGATGTTGTCACAGCATATCACATGAAGATCTAATGACGAACAGAAGAGTTACAGTTTCACGTGAAGAGCTACAGTTTCACGTGCTTCAGGCTTCTGTATTGTCCGGGCCAAATGTGGGTGTCTATTTTAACATAGAAACCCCGCACCAATGGGTTTTGGTTTATGGGTCTTTGGGCGGTCTCCCGATTTTAATACACGCCCATGTCTTTTAAACATTGACCATAGAAGAAAAACATACTAATAACAAGAAGCTAGTAGGTTGGAGGCCATCGCTACTAGTAGCAAGAAGCTACTAGGCTCATGAGGAAAACCAAAGAGAACCAGAAATCAATGTCATTGATTTAACAGATCGAATTTCAACTGGAGGACAATGGAGCTGGAATCGCTGGCAGGACTCAGTGCTGGCAGCCCGTGGTGCAGGTATCCGCGTAGTGTCTTGGCTGGGCATTTAGTGAGTCTGTTGGGTTCATGCACTGGAGGTTTGGTTCATTACTACCTACAATTGCTCATACCCTAGTGGAAATCCTTTGGACAAAAGGTGTTTTTTATCATTGGCTCTTTGAGCCCAGTCCCTACCTTAAAGGCATGCGTGGGATTTCAGCATCCGCGGATGAGGTGATGATCACGGGAGATTACCTCAAGACCGCCATCGCCATTGCCAAGAATGTGCAGATTTTGCAGCCTCAGGATGACGAGGCGAGGCGCAGAGTGCGACTTTCCGGAGGTTGGCAAGGCAGAAAGCATCGTAAGGTCGAAAGCCTAACTTGGCCAGGGACCTGTGCGAATGCGACATCGCACTGATGGATTATTGGTGATTGGATGGTTTCACCTGAATTGGATTGATTTCCCTTTTCTTGTGAGTGCTTCACTCTTTGATTGTTTCATGATGCACTCCTGCTTGATTTTCTGTGAAAGTGAAGACAGTTTCCGTTCTACATCCGACAAATCAAGCGGGACACAGGGATGGATCTGTCTACAGCCCAGGGCAGAATAGCAGGAATCAATCAAACAAATTAGCCCACTCATTACGGAGTTGTAGTGCAGAGTGAGGTATAGAAAGATTGTCTTGAACGTCTTTAGGAGTAACACACAATGCCTCCTATATGCTGGAGGTTTGTTCTTGAGGTTTGTACCTGTGGAACTACCCGTCCATCCTCCACGTGTCATCCGTTGCGTCCACCGCCGTGCCGTTTCACCGCCGTGCCGTCCACCGACGTGCGGAGAGACGCGTCTATAGGCCACGGCGGCCGTAGATTGCAACTGCTTGCGGCCCGGAGGTGCGGCAGAAGCGGGAACTGGGGATTCGGTGGATTTGGCCAACAAAGGCAGCCTTTCTGAAGGAAGAGACAGGAAGAGTCTCGTAGCATCTCATAAGTAATTAGAGACCCGGTAAGGTTGGCTCAAATCCCAACCTTGGTGATGGCGAACGATCGTGTGACAGTCTTTGGGATTTGAGCTGGTCATGTATGCGTGATGTGATGGAGCGGGTGGAGGGGGTTTGCTTCAGTCATGTGCAGCTTGCATGGGCACCCCAACTAAGAATTGCAAATTCTTACGTTTTCTTACCACATACAATGCCACATTGTCATTATCTTCACCAGCCCTTAAAACAACAAAGCGGGGAAGAATCTCGTGCTGCCGCAACCTGACCTTCAACCTACCGCGTTTTCAGTTTCGAGGAACTTAGATACTATCGGGAAGTTCTCATGAGACAGGAGCAGACTTGGACACATGTCATTTCTTTTTTAGTCATGTTTCGTGGTGAATCAACCATTCCATTCCATTGCAGTTACTGAATTGGGGTGGTCTGATCCAATGAATGGGGCTTTGCCGAACACAAAGGTTAGATCATGTTAGATCTTTGAAAGGCGCACTGGTCTGCCACGATGCAGGCATGGCCTTACTATATACTAGGAACAAGAAGCTACTAGCAAAAAGGACATCGCTACTAGGAGCAAGGACGCTACTAGTAGCTCCTGGCCTTACTACTAGGAACAAGCATTTCCTGGTTCATTCGTTCCTAGTAGCTTCTTGTTACTAGTAGTACGGCCAGGAGCTACTAGTAGCGTCTTTGCTCCTAGTAGTAATGCCCTTTGTTACTAGTAGCTTCTTGTTGTTCATTACTTGCTTCATTTGGTCTCAAATAGACCAAGTGGATCTCAACCGTGTTGGTGCTGTGACCACGCATGGTCACCATGCGTTTGGCGTTTCTGAAGACACGTTTCTGAGAAACCCTTTTTGTCCTGAAGGTTTGGAGGGAAACACATCCCGACTTCCGAGATACCAAGTGGCCATTGGTGGCTGTCAAGCGAATTCCCCATTTTAACTCAAGTGAAGAAACGATAAGACAAGACCTTGGCTGGCTCCATTTGTAGTATCAACCCGCGTATAATGATGGACGCGTTTGTTTTGAGCCTTTAACCAATATGAAGCCTGGCGCGGTCTCCACAGATAAAGATGAACAATGACAACAGCTATTTTCACTGACCACCCCTTACCACGGGGGTGTAGTGCAGCCGAAACTTTAATCAATACCAATTTGACTGATTTGTTGTTTAAATTCATAAATGATTTACCAAAAAGTGTCTCAATCCATTACCCTAGGGCTCCGAACGCCCCATATCCTCAGGTTCGGTGGTCCCCCTGGCACCCACCCCCGTCTTCCGTCTTCGAAACGGATATAGGAGGTAGCCCGGTCACGGTCGACCGGTCCACGGAAGCGTGACGGTGGAGGGCCGACGAGAGGGCCGACGGGAGGCCAATACCTGGAGACGAAGGAGATGGACCGCATGACGTCCACGGTGCGGGTCTTCGCGCGCGCGAAGCCGGAAGACAAATTGGCCGCTTGGAAGGAACGAAGACAGGTCAGGGGATGTGGTGGTGAAGTGAGAAAGTCAGGAAGACTTCAGTGAGATGGGTTGGTTAAGGTCAACAGGGTCAACAGTCAAGATTCTTCGGTGGGTTTCCAGGAAGAGGAGCTGCTAGGTCCGCTGTCGTGATCTCCTCAGTTCTCAGGAGATTGTCAAGTCCATCCAACGCATGGGCCAAGTAGCTGCCATGACGGGCGATGGCGTGAATGATGCACCCGCCTTGAACCAGGCAGCGTCGCCCCGTAAACGACGCGACGTGGCGGAGTGGGGGGGCACGGAGGGGGTGACAAGGGGGTTCCGCTGAGTGGTGAAGATGCTTGAGATTCTTGAGATCAAGATCTGAAAGCTTGAGTTCGTTTGTGATCCTTGCTTGACTGTCAGGAACCTCCAACTGGTCACCAGTTGAAAGCTCTGAAGACCTAAAAGAGCCAGTGGGAGTGTGCTTTTCCTCATCTACCAGACTTGCTTCAGAACCCTGCAAATCTGAACGTGATTGACATTGGATCCAGCTGGGACCAATGCAACCTGCTTCAGTTCGCTACTCACCCACAGATCGAACCACATTTTGAGGAACCACAAGTCTTCGTTCTTAGTCATTCGTCTTCTGATTCTCCAAGTGTTCTGATTCCATGTCCGTCGGTGCGCCGTGCGGAGGCCAACATTGGCGTGGCCATGGGCATCCAGGGCACAGAGGTGGCGAAAGGTGCCAGTGTGGCTCGGTTTTGCTCGGTTTTGCCACCGGTGCCACCGAAAAGGCCAGCTGGGCAGGTGTGGCTGAGAAGGACAAGGTATCCACCCTTAGTGTTTGAATGTTACCTAGGGAACCACCCTCCCACCCATGGTTTGAGTATGATTCAGTCGATCTTTGCTTGCTCTTCAAAGTTTTTTGGGACTCTCCTTATATCTTTATATAATCATCACTTTCAAACAAAAGCATTCTTGCCATTTTCCATGTTCTACATCGGGGTATAAGATCTTTTTAGCACATTTGGCAATGTTTATGAATTGGATCATGACTCATGACACTACATCCATGTTTCTTGGGCGTAGCAAGGATGGTGTATTTCCTTTGAGGCAACATATGTTGAAGAATCTACCAGGGAGAGCCGTACTTCAGCTCATGGTCTTTCTTGGGATGCCAAGGACATGATTCTGACCGACGACAACTTTTGCCGCTGGGACAATGGCTGGGCTCCAGGGGGGTGGATGCTTGCTGGCCGCGACCTTCCAAAAAGCGGCTGTCTCTGCACCAGACAGGCCCTGTGTTTTTTGCTTCTATGAAGGGTCCGTTTAGCAACCGGAAAGAAGACCCTGGCCCTGGTTTACTTACTGCAGCGAAAAGGGAGGGAAGTATGAACTACGTGTAACATGGGTTGGGCTATGTTGAGCTATAGCAGGCTCTAAAGACGGTGAGCACCGAAAATACCACTACCAATTCGGTGTTTGCCCAAGGTGTGGGAACTGTGCCCGACGGGTGGGTCTAGGCATCAAGGCCACTCGTTTGCCCAGTGGTTTTCGGTCAACAGGATGTGGTCGCTCCTCCGTGACCCACCGCAGTCGGCCCAAAGGGGTCACATGACGCGCAAAGACCACGGTGACCTGCTCGTTTTGTCGTACGAAGTCAACTGAAGAGTGTTCCCCTGCCAAAAGCACGAAGTCTCCCACGAAGTCCAAGACTGTGAAGAGTGAGAAGATGTGAACTGCATGGAAGAATCCCGCAGCTCGCCAGCTCATCCTCTCCCACCGTCCTTTGATGCTCAGTGTCCGCAGCTTTCCCCATGACCTCCATCGGCCGCGGGAAGGGCCCGGGCGGGACGGTGGGCCGACGTTCGACGCCATGCAGCCAGAGACACTGGTCAGACAAAGCTCAGGAGTGGGTGGACGGCCGCGGTGGATGGGTTCCAACCGAGTGGCCGCCGTCTGAGGTCTCGGGTCAGCTGTACCCGAGTTGTGAGCATACCCAGCGCTTGGTCGTGAGGGTTCTATGATAGTTTCTATTAATTAAGTATAATGTCTTGTGTAATATATTATATATATACGTAGTTATATATCTAACTGGATATTATATAGGATAGAACAACTGGGATCACGTGTAGCCCATTTTTCGCTAGAAGCGTTCCAAGGTCACGACACCCAGTGCCCATGCTGTTCACACCACAAAGCAAATGGTGCGAAAGGGCTTTCACATGTTTTCACTCACTCTTGCATTTGATTAACTATATATTAAAGTTCTTTTATTTTCCAAGACGCGGCTGACCTTTTCGACTCTTTCGCACCTCCTTATCTTCCGAATGATCACGTGGTAGATCTGCCAGCGGCGGATCTGCCAGCCTTTTGCCAAAGTCCTGGAACCGGGTCTCAAGTCTCCAGAGATCTCACGTCTCCGGTGGTAAAGCCCCCCCAACGGGTTCAACGACCGGTCGTCACGCTCCAGAAGAGTGACCGACTTCTTTGGCGATCCGCGCCGCTTGGGCGAAGTCCGATCTGTAGCCATGCCCTTGTATATATGGAATCTTTACATTCACCCCTACTAGCGATGCCCTTGTTGCTAGTAGTAGTGCTTGTTTCTAGTAGCTTCGAGCTACTAGTGGTAATGGTAGTGCCTTAAGCCAGACTTTGCCTCCCATAAGCACCGTGAAGTCAGACGGAGTCACTTCCCAAGTTCCCACCATCGCGCCATCGCTTTCTCGCTTTCTCGCACGCGAGGACCGCCCTGTGGTGACCCCGTGAGTGCCATTGAGCCCAACCTCCCTGAGGCGCCGGGTGCGCTTGTGGCACAAGGTGATCAAGATGTGAGGAGGGTACGGGAGGGAGGTGAAGCGGAAGGTTGGATCAAAGAGGTTGGATGGCTTTGGACGCAAAGCCTCGGAGCGACCTCTCCTCCCCCAAAAAGTACGTACAGTAATCAGGAAGCAACCTAGGGCCATCTACTAGGGCCATCTACCAGGGCAATCCGGGACCCTTGGATTAGTTTGAGAGAAGGCGGGGGACATTGGGTGGACTCGTCACCCGGCACGCCTCACCTTCCAGAGATTCACTACTAGGGGAATCATCTCATCTCTTCATGTTGGATCCAGGTTGTTCTTCTGTTTATTGTTTATTGTGATTTATTGTGTATTTATTGTTTATTTTGATTTATTGTGTATTTTATGTTGTTTTGAAACGGAGGTTCACTCCAAAAATAAGACATCAGTTTCACTGTGTCACTTCCATGTTGTAATAATTTGTAATGTGTTGCAATAGTGATCACAGAAATCTTTCAGATTGACTATCCAAAGGGCTTTGGGATGCAGTGCCTGAGGGACCACCCGATGCAGCCATGCCAGGATACCCTGCCACGAAGCTTGGCGAAAACAGGTGGCACTCTTTGCGAACTGGACGTGAGTGTCATGAAAGCTGCAACATGCTGACCAACAGAGATACAGCATGCAGAAAGGGGAGAGCCGGAGAGACTCAGCCACTGTGTCTTCAGAGAGATGTTCTTTCTTGAGATCTTCTGGTTTAGACGGTTCAACAAGCAAGGCTTTCAGTCGGACGCACATGCATTTGCTGCATCAGCCGGCGATAGTGATGTGGTACGAGGAATCACGACTCTCCAGAAAAGATAGGGGATGGCTTATTTAATTATTTCAGGGGACCTGTGGGATAGCGGAATAATTTTTTTGGAAAAATTTTTGTGGAATAATATTTTATCAAAGGGCTAGTCATAGGGCCCCCTGGAATAATTTTCAAGAATACTCATGTTGCGACGTTTGATGATCTGAAGTCAGCAGCTGGACGCGAGTGAGAGGCTCAAACAAGAAACATCAAGAAACAACAAAAATATATAAGGAGATATATAAGGGGATGAGATCTCCTATAGATCTCGAAATTAGATTTCGCAGAGATCTACAGACGGTATCAGACATTTCCGCGATTTGATGATAAAAAAGGTTCATCAGAATGAGTTAGATTATGTCAGATTGCTCTTGCTGTGTGAGTCGCTGTGTTGATATGCTTTTTATATGAAGATATAGAGAAAGCTAAAAAAAATTCCTGGAACTCAACCAGTTACCAGAATAATATTTGAGAACTAACTCAAGGGGGGTCAGAATAATATTTTATTATTCCTAGGGTCTTTCACAGGGGGGGCCCTTAAGCCTTCCCCTATCAGAAAAGCTACCCGCTCTGAATCTTTGCACATGTTCCCACTCTTTCCGCAGCAGACCCCTACAACAAGACATGTTGGTGAAAGTGGGACTGCATTACGTCATTATGTCCCTGTATGACGGAGTTGGAGGTGACCTACAATACGCCGGAGAAAACATGACTCCACATTCTGGGTGAGAACCTGTTCCGCAGATTGATGCTCAGCAACTTAGGAATTCAAGTTTCCACCTATTTTAGTATCGAATCCGTGTCATCACTCATAATTAAGAAACCAAATTCGCCATTGGATGAGCTCCTCACAAGAGAGTCATGAAGATTCAAAAGCATGAGACGGAGGACTTTGGAATCATTTCGATCGATGGTTCTGATGCTATTCCCTCAGCAAACACCTGCGAAAAAAAGGCCACTTCGGCCACAACTCACTTCAACCGACCGAGCGCCACGCTTCCCCAGGGCAGCCGGACAGCTCGGCGGTAAGTCAGCAGACACTCGGAGTCGAAGATATGTTTGATGACGAGAGAGGTGATGCACAGGTGGATTTGCAATCACCATCAATCACCCATTTATACCCATTCTAATCATTCTACATGATAATTCATTATATAATGAATCAAAATAGATGTTTCTATGCATGTTTAGCATCAAACAATCTCGCTACTGAACCCCCATGCTTCCGTTCTGTACACCTCAACCGACCAACGAGAGGTGGTGGGTTAGAATACCCGACAAAAAGAACGATCCACTGAGTCAGGAGCTCACGAATACCAACACCTACGAAGGATAGGGATGGGCAAGGTATGCTTTTCTTTGAAGCTAGTGCAGCTAGTGCTTGGAACTAACTTAGATGAGTTGCCACAGAAAAGGCAGCAGTGAGTCAACTTATCTAATTAAGTGAGACGATGAGCCAGTGAGTCAACTCATCTAACACGAGTGCCACTGTGCAGAAGGGTACGGTAGGATCTACGGTAGAAAATACTCCGTTTGGCGCCTCGAGGATCCTGAACTTTTTGCTGGGCCTCAAAACCCTGAAGCACGAGGGTGTCACCAACCGAGAAGAGCTTGAGGAGACGCTTTATGCGGCTTTGGCGGAATAAGCGACCAGACTGGTCCGAAGGGCGACAAAATGTAGTTACTTTAGGCAAACTGGCCAAAGATGGAAGTGGAAAAGTTCATGTATATAGCCCGTTTTGAACAGCTTTAATAGATGGTTTGCTCACCCGAACCAGCCGGTTTCTGATCAAATCTCACTCTAGAGATGTCCTGGATCACTCATCCAGAGAAATTTAGAGTTCCAACAAAAGCGGTAAACAGTATCACTTCTGGTCCCAGTAAGTCCAAAGACATTGGTAACTCATGTCTCTGACGTCGTTGCCACATTCACGCTCAATCACGGTTGTGTGGTTTTATAAGGCAGCGTAAGACCATGGCTTTTTCATTCTCAACAGCTAAACTATTTTAAACACGACACCATACATAAATAGAGCACCAGTTTATCTCTCTTGAATGCTGTAACAGCATATATATATATATATATATGTTGTTCATCCCCTGATGAGGCCTCCATTTCACGATTCTGTCATGGGTAGGGACTGTGTTTCACGGGTAGGGACTTTCACACGCTTATTTCACGCATAGGTATTTCCGAGTTATATCAAATATGGAGGCCTCAGGAGACACTGCCATGTGAAGATCAGTTGATCCAATATTAAGAATTCCTAACTAAATGTACATTGAATCTTCTAGAGTTGCTTGGGTTGTCTCAAAAGACACTCAATCTCAAAGGCTGCAAGTAGGGACCGTCTTTGTGAAAGACGGTGGTAACTCATGTCGAAGACACCTTGGGTGGTGCTATCACATCTCGTGACCAAGCAGCTCCTGAGGCCAAGCGCTTTGAGCTGCTCTTCCCCGAGGCGGAAGCGGTGGCTGGCGAGAAGCCGCTGCAGCTCGGGAAGCGAAGCGGGGCCGTCGGGATCGCAGGTAGGATATACGTGGATCAATCAGGTGATCCCAGACCCGGGGCCG